TAGTAAATTCAAAATTTACAACATGATAATTCCATGACAATGTTTCTTCTATAGAAATACCCCGGTATTCAGAGATCACCTGCATATGGTGTCCATGCCTCCCAACTGATTCGATTCGCCAACTTTGAAGTGAAAGTTGCAGGTCCATCTGAGGAGACCTTATAAAAACCGAGTATCTCGGTAGGTGTTGGCAGGATAAAGAACCCTCACTGCTCAATGGCCCTGAGTGCCGAACAAAGGTCTAAGTTTGAAGTCATTCACCGGTTTATGGTGACGTCTCCATATAAATGAAACGTCATTTTCCGTGTTGCATTGATACAAGTGCCAACTTTGGAAGAGATCCTTCATTCTTTAGAAGACTTAAGTGGTGCAATTTTTTTTTCTCCATATGATTCACACCATTTCATTGCAATCGCTTTTATGGCATTGATTGCGTATTGCTGAACACAAATTCAGCAATATGAAATATATAGAGATAACAAATAGTATTCAAACTCAACGGTCTATTAAATAATACAATTTTGGAGCAAAGCAAGAACAGACCTCTGAAACATCAGAGATGGGATCAGGTGCCGTGGAGGAGTAAATTGAACTGGTCTCCAAAAACAACATACATATTCAATGATATTGTCAATCAGAAATTCGGGCATCATTTTAATATTAACTTCAGAGTACATGTGTGTACAATATTTCAACCATACTTAGATAGAAAATAGAGTTCGTAAGACTTTACGCTTTGCAGAGTTTACATTCCGGTTGAATTATCAAGAAATCAACTCATCTAACTTTCACAGAGTTATCACAGAGAAAACAAATAGAAATGAAAGTACAAGTCTATAACTTCCAGTGTTTGAACGAATGCAGTTTTTTGACAGTCCAGGCATTCAATAAGATAATGGAGGGGATGCTTACAACTCAATGGCAACTGATCCCACCTCTGATGTTTCGGGGGTCCGTGTTTGCTCTGCTCCAAATTTGTATTGTTTCAATTGAATTTTCAGCTTGATTGCTGTTCATCATTTCTATATTCCATCATATTCCTTAGACTTTTCTTCGTAAAAGAAAAAGTAAGTCATCAACGCAGTGTTCGGACTTGATAGTTCTATCATTCTATGTATAATACCTTGTATAACTTTATATATCTTCGACAGAATACAACTTTTTAAACTCATAGAATGCTAAATTGATGATTTACAAAATTGCACGTAAATGTGTTGATGCTAGGAATAGGATCTAGATAAAATATGTCTCAAGCAACTTCTTATCACTAAGGTATAAAGATCATAAATTAATAAATATTTGATCCTTCATACACAATATAATATGAAAAGCAAGAATATCTTGAATGGTATCTACGTAATTGCTGAAAAAATAAACTGTGGGAGATATAATATAATCCTTAAAGGCAAATTTTTCTTTACCTTTTTTCTATGAGATTTATAAATTATTAAGTTGCTGATGACGTATCCGACATATTGTTTTGCAACCATGTTACAAAAGTGCTAGTCATGTAACCTTATTATGAAAGGTGTACCCGATTCACATAAAGGGGTCCCTGTGCTCCATATCCTCGAGCGAAGTGATTAATCATGGCGTTCAGATTGGCCATATCTAAATCTTTTCAAAGCTGTGTGTTTCCAAAAGTAAACGTTCAATGAAATTTTAAATAAAAGACTGACATTGGACTACTCATACAGGTCTCTGAAAATGATAAACTTTTTGTTGTGATTTTAGGGGGGACAGATCACGTGGTTTGGGGTAGGTTTATAAAGAGTCGCATACTTGATAGAAAATCAGATTTCGTAACGAACTCTGATATTTTTGGGGGGTGTAGAGAAATTGGAGCCAGTATATGAACATTTTGTTTTCTTAAATTGTCTCCACACTTCCACTTTATCAAAAGGAGAGATTTTTCACGTCATGAATTTAGGCGCCCTAGCCTGGGCGATTCTATTAGGCGCCTGTATCACTCAGATTGACGCAAGGTAGGATATAGATTAGAATCACAACCTAAAATCTTCAAATTCTTTGCCTTTTGTATACATATCTCTCTTTGTACCGTACCTTCTTTTTTCTAGCATTTAAAAACGTAATTTTAAAGCTTATAGTTTCTTTCTTTGTTCCTATATCATTATCTCTTTTCATTGAATTTCATGTTATTTGGTCAAATGGAAAAATAGCAAATTTTAGGAAAGATGTTTAGGTATTTTAATACTCAGTTCAAAGAGAAAGGGGGGTTTCGAAAATCTTTAACGTTCATTAAGCAATTAAAAAAAAAAAGATTTTTCTCAACACTAAATAGTTCAAGATTTGATGATCAGGTTTAAAATTTGTGCCTAAATTTGCCTCATTTTTTCGAACAATTCACAGTAATTGTATTTGGATAGAACGAAACATTAGCACTAAATATTCGTTTTTTAGTTCATGCTTGAAGAGAATATGTAGATATATAATACAACTCGAACTTTTATTCAAATAAAAATAAATCACAAAAATGATGTCTTTAATAACTAAAGTTTTAATGCAGAAATATCAATTCATGAAAAGTGCGCTTAATTTTTAGCTATTATATCAAAATCATTTAAACCATTGTTCTTTTCCAAAGGCCGCAAAATCATGAAATGATAAAACATGATAAGGAAAAAAATGTCATTTTATAACTTTTTAGAATAATAAAAATTGTTATCTTATTATACATTTATACATATAGTTGTACCGTAGATCACTAAATTTTCGCGAGATAGCCATTGACTCCTTATTAGCGAGACATAATTTTCACGCATTGTTGTTATTCCTCTATAAAATCTTTTGTATGCGAGAATGATATTTTCGTCAGCTCATTGTCTCGCATAATTACGCAAAAATAAAGTTCTCGCGAATAATAAGTGATTTTCAGTATACTTGATAAAGCAGCTCGAGCAGTTTCATAATATCGATTATTACATATTCCTATGTTGCACTTCAGTGGATAATGAAATTAAAAATGTCACTGGACACTAGTGCGACAGGTTCAAAGTAAAAAAAAAATCTTTCTTAGATTTGCAGTACGTTGTTTAGAATATTTTAATGTTCAAAGCATTACAGTTTCTAGTATAAGTAAGGTTGGGGAAAAAAGTTTGGGGGAGGGGGGCAGGCCCCCCCCCCCCCCCCCCCACCCCCACCCCCTGAAACGTTTGTATCTTATCTGAATCTCAAAAGTTAAAGAAAACGAAAACTTAGAAGTGGGCATATACTAGTATGTACATGTATTTGATTTGAGACCTTTTAGGTGACAAAGGCAACGCATGATAATGGTTTAAAAAAAACATCAAAATGAGTTTTTCGGGTATTTGTTTTAAAATCATGTAAGGATTTTTCTGTATCAAAATAAACTAAACTCAAAACTTAGGGGGGGGAAAATATACCTTTTGGAAGTGGTTTAATTGGAATAAAATATATACTCAGTAAATGAAATTAAACCAAATGCGCACTTTTCATAACATCGATAATACATTATCTTAAGATGTACTTCTATGAATAAAACGAAATTAAAAATGTAACTGAACAAACATGTTTCAATAATTTTAATAAATCAAAATAGTTTCAAATTCTTCAAAATATGTTTCTATGGTTTTAATATCTTCAGAATACAGAACACAATGTCTCCACCTACCTACATGTACAGCGCTGTTACAATGCAGAATGTCATAATGACGGAAAATGTAATAAACTGAGATAGACATTACATTTTGTATTATTACATCTTGCGTCATTACCTATCAAAGCGAAATATATTACGTAATGCAAAATGTATAAACAATTACATATTGATTACAATTTAAATTGATCTTGGCGCAATATGGAATAGAAATGGAAAATGCAATAACCTTAATTTCATTACATTTTATGGCGTTAAAAGGGTGGACAAAATTCATATGCATATACAATATTACTCTTAATAAATATGTACATAAACATATGTTATAACATTTAAAAAAAAAAGGGGGGGGAAACAAGCACCATATCTACTACGCAAGTAGCATACCAATATAAGTTGTTTAAGGGGGTAATTTTCGCTGAAATTAGAGTATATATAATTTCGAAGTGGTGATACATTTTTTGCTAAATAACAGTCTTCAATTTACAATTTGTTTGTGTTTATTATTTCAGGGCACACCGACAAAAAAGGCAATGTAAGTTGTAAAACTACTTCTAGATATGTTGATTTTAAATTGGAAGCAATAAAGATACATGTATATGGCAAATTGTAAATTTTGAATTTACTTGTTAAAGGTTATTTGATTCGAAATTTAATTTATAATAGTATGCCATCTGTCAATGGTTCTAAGCTATTTATTTTCCATTTTCGTGAGAGAGAAAAAAGGAAACAAAAATTGCTAGACTTTTTAGAAAAGTTTTTTTTAATAATTAAAAATTTTCCCATTGGGATTATTGCATTACCTATACTGGATTAGCAGAAATTAAGTAGGTTCATAATTGAAGCTTGAACTGAAGTACATGAAATGCATTAATATGAATTTCCATTGAAGTGTTATTGAAGAAATCAAACGGTTTAATTAACTGAGAAATAAAAAATTTAAAAATAGACATACTATATAAGTGATTGAAATTTGATTTAATCAAGTATTTTTTAATGATACGTGACATGCAAAGTTTAAATATTCATTAATCGAGGTTTAACTTTTTCTTATGACTTATGATAAAGATATTTAAATAATTATAAATTCCTTGAAATACAATCAAATCAAAAGCCAGATAAACTAAGAATGCACTGGCCCGCCCCCTTTTGTATCCAAAAAAAAAAAACAACAAAATATTCGATAAATCAATGTTTTGGTGTGACTTTGGGCCCCTACCCTGACCTCAAACTGCCCCCCCCCCCTCTTTTCATAATTTCTGGATCCGCTACTGGAATGGTTCCAGTTCTTGAAATTAAAATACATTTTTCATTTTTTACAAGCTTGTCTTATTTTTGCTTTATGTAGTTGGTGGTTTCGGAGGTGGAGATTCAAACCCTTTCGGTCCCGGAAGTGAGTATCCTTATTTTTCTTTAAATTCAAATTTAAGTCTCACGATAGCCTGTTTAAATGTACGTTAAAATAGGTATTATGTAAAATTTTAACAAATTTACGCCGCTATACATTTAGATTAATTAAGATGAAATTTTCGAATTGAATAATGTATTTGTATGGTACTATGTGTATTTTTTATATATACTTATAGAAAAAAATTAAAAACTCGTACGTGATGTTTCGAAATCATAGAGTAAAATTTCTCACATCAAAGGGATTAATTTAAAATTGTATTATTTTAGTTAAAGAGTTACGAACATACTCAATTTCAAAGCTGGTTGTGTCAGGCGATATTGTTCTCTTATTTATTCTTCTATATTAATTACTATGTATGTTAATTGAAAAGTGTTCAATTTTTTTTCTTAAATGATTCCATAAATGAATCCAAAACGCAATATACACACGCTCACAAAATGCGCAGATTAAGCATTGATGTGAGAGAGCTAGGGGATGGAGTGGAAACGGATTATGCTTTTGTGTTTAATAGCACTCTTAAATGATTTAATTGATTAAGAGCCTTTTTTCATTTTTTTTAAAGCAATATGTATTTTTCCTTATATATAATAGAAGCTTACATTTTACTTATATTGCGATAGGAAGTTTTGGATCAGAAAAATAATATGTGTATTAGAGAAGGTAGTCCGTGCAATATTTGTTCTTCTTATACCTCTATCTCTAAGGTGCGCGATAAGGCGTTTCATATCGACAGCTCTATATTTGTATACAGTTTATATACGAAAATACCGTAATTTTCAATACCCTCTCCGCGAAACAAATCTCCCAGGGGTTGATATCAGATATAGGCTTTTGTTAACTGAAAATAAATTACCTTATAAAATAGGAAAATAGATGAATCATTATTTGTTTTACAAGACAGGGCACAATCTTACTTCAATATCACGGCGACCTTTCGCACGAACGATGTAACACTTTGAGTTATTAATATCTACAAAAATCGGCGAATTTTTCTGTCTCTTGCATCAAGATTATTTCACCGTTATCTTTAATAAAATATCCTAGATGTGCTGATCACCCTTGAGTTTTTTTTTTACGTATTAAGGACAGAGGAATGAACTCAAGATACCCTATAATCTATTCCAAATGACATGGTTTAAAATTATATAAAGTGTAAATTATCAAAGTGTAAAAGAATCGAATCCTTCCACATAACGTCGCGTGATAGATTTTGTCCTTGAGCTCGGGATATTTTAATATGGCACAAAATCTTTTCTCTTTTTCTTTTTTAATGTTCCCTCACAAGATTTTTTAAACGATAATAATCAGTCATTACATTTCAAAAAGAAAAAAAACACTACTCATAAAAAAAACCTGATCTTGTCATTTTATAAGAAGAGTGCGCGATAAGCATTGTAAGCCTCTGTCCAATGTTTTGTACTCACATTGACAATACTGAAAATATAGTTATTTAAAAAAAACATTCGATTAAATTTTAGCCAAATTCGATTAGTCATACTTTTTTTTACTAATAAAACAACACTTAAGTTATGAAATTGAAAAGAAAATTTTTAGCCATATCCGAGTATGTCATGGTACGACTCACTGAATCTTTCATGCAGCATCCGGGTTACTGAAAAGCGGGAAAGTTAAAATCTCCAATTTAACTATTTGTATTCAAGTATATTATGGTAACACCCGTTTTCTGTTCACTTATCATCCATTATAAATCATTATACCTGAAAAATGATATTAACCTGTTAACTTAGTCAAAAGTTTTGCAACTAATGGTGATGATATATTCTTCGTCTGCTTCCTTTGCTGTTTTGTATTGTTCGTGCCACAGATTTGTAGAAAACCTGATTGTTATATTTTATCATTTTTTATACATTTAATAAAAAAAAAATATTGTTTAATTGTTTTAAACAATTTATTGAAATACAATCAATGGGATTGGACACAAATTATTCTAACATGAACTTAGATTGTCCTCTCCAACACAAACAAAATGACAACATGGTGATGTACATGTACAAACAATAAATGAATAATATTGACTTGTTTTTGTAGCATCCGGTGCTTGCAAACCGTTAGCAGCTCCTACAGATGGGCAAATAAACTGTGGAGATTCTACAATATTTTAGTGAGTATATACTGCAATAGATATGTAGCTTCCATGATAAAATTAAACATAATGAATATAAAGAAAGAATATGGTCGAGAGAATAGTTGAATCTGCCCTTTTCAAAAGTTGGTCCCTTGGTAGCCATTTTTAGGGAAAAACACATAGACGTAGAGTAGCCCTTACATTTTTCTGGTTTGTAACTTTGTCATCTGGCTGAAGATATTCTGCGCGTCACGTATATTGATTGCCCCAAGCTGAGACTACCCATATATCGAAAGAAATATTTTAAACACAGTGGATTTATTGGAACATACCCAAATGTTCGGTAGCATAAAGAGGAGAAATGTCATTTCTTTCCCTTTTGACCTTTTGGTTGACCCAGCAAAGGGATAAAGCTTTTTCAAAATGTGGATCGGATGGCCCAATCACAATAACTTTAATTCCGAATCTATATAAGGCTTATGAATTCTATCCCTTCACCTATAAAACTTTGTTACCAAAACTATAACTTGATCTGAGAAAGATTTATCAAATATATGCAGAATTTTAATTAAAGGAAAATTTAATCGTCCAGATGGGCGTCATTATATGCAAATGTGTTTGCTCATGGCAAAATTTGTGCATCTCGGGCGGTCAGACACATGGTTATTCCAAACACTGCCAATTTAAGGACATACGCAACGCACCTCACCTACTGATAATTTTTCAAGATATTCTAAATTTAAACTTACGATGCCATTACATGTTCTTAGACGAAAAATCAGCATGCATTACCAGGGGTTTTGAAAAGATATCAAATTGTGAAAATTTTTGCATTATTCAAAGAAAAATGCACAAAAATTACAAAACATACATTCCAGATTTTTTTTCATCAAAATTTGTTTTAGAAGAGGTGTAGAAATCCATATATAGACATTAAAAGTATTGCTCACGGGTCCTTCATTTAGTGGAACTCTTCAACTTCAGAGAAGAACGCAATAAAGTTCAAACTACATTGGTTATGACCTTAAGGCTATAAAAACTGTTGAGCAGTAGAAAGAAGATACACAATTAAACCATTTGTTGACACTGATGTTAAGTTCATCCATTGAGCTAAGAAGAAATTGTTTGTAGACATTATATTTGTTCTGTACATTTTTTTCAGCCGTTGTACGGCCCAGTGTAACTCTGGTTATCAGTTTGATAATGGAGACACGACAATACAGAAGGACTGTGATCCCATGACAGGGATGTTCTTTGATGGCCCGACATTTCCAAAATGCATACGTAAGTTTAATAAAGATATAATGTACTGGTATATTGCTGATACGTCACTATCAACCCTTTCACAGTAAATTGTGGTACAGTTGATACTGCTATTTTGCCAGATCAAATTGCTAATGTTTACCAAAGTTTTTGATGGCTGTCAGTCGCAGATGGTTAAACAATCTCTGTCATGTCATATTTCATCAAAATATATGTCAAAACTAGCTGTACAAAAAGATCAGCACCACAGTATTTGGAAACAGCTTTTGGCACTTAATGGTCAGTCCCACTTTCTTGCTAACTATAGGTAATTGTCAATGTTTTCATTGTGTCATTCATCATATTTAAGGATCACGTAATTTCAAAGTTAATACAGAAGTATTGGGTTTGATGTCTGTAGTGATTTTAAAGACAATGGGATTGAATAAATTGTCAGTATAATCATGATAATCATACTTAATTGCAACATTGATATGATTGAATGACAGCAATGAAACAAGTTTCCAAACATGAATGCTACTGTGATGCCGAAATGACTTTTCTTTTGTAGAGTTAGTTTTAATATATAACTTACCCCATAGGGATATATTGTGATATCTGTTAGGACGATATGCATATCGATACATATGAAGAAATATCGCCCAAAAAAATCTTTCTTCTGTTTTTCTTTGTTTATTTAACATTTTGGGTTTAATTTATAAAATAAATAAGCTAAATATAAATATAGATATGAAATAAATAATAATCAACACCACTTGAGTAAAATATTTTTGTTTTACAAAACATACAAACAACTATTTTGAATAAATTATTCTTATTTGCAAAGAAATAATTTGTTTATTTCAATGCAAAAAAAGATTTTATAAGCAATTAAACATATTGAGATACATATCATATTGTGGCTCAAATATCATGATACGTATCGATATAGAAAAAGTTGTATCGTCCCAGCCCTATTACCCCGGGTTGTATACAATAAAGATAATAGTTTAAAAAAAAAAACCCTGACAATTGTTTATGAATTTAAATTAAGTCTTTACATCATTATTCATAAGTGCCTGGAGCTGATTCTTCTTTGTTTTCAACAATTTTGAATTAAATTGAACATATTTTATTGACAAAGCCAAAAGGATAAGACACAAGTTCTACAACTTAGATGGTCTTCTCCTTCAATTTTAGCTACCTGTAGCCCAGCTTGCCAGAATGGAGGGACTTGTGTTCAGCCCAACATCTGTTCTTGTGCCTCTGGGTGGAGAGGGACTTTCTGTGAAAGTCGTAAGTTTTCTTCAGTTAAAAAAAACAACAGGGAATTCAATCAACCTCTTAAAAAAAATGTGTAAACATTGAGATTGTTTACACATGTTACATGTACTTTCATATTGTTGGTTCTATGTATTTATTCTTTAAAAAAAAAATGGGTAAATATTGAGATAATTATAAATTATCTTTGGTACCATGGCATCATTCATTCTTTTATATTATAACTTAAGGACGTTCGATCCTGAGCTTTTGAGTGGATTTTTGTCATGTCCTTTATTTATAAAATTCTGCATCATTTTTAAGTTCTAACATTAAATCTGAATTTTTATATTAAACTTAATTAAGTAGAATTTCTATATTTTGTGGCGGAAGTTTTTTTTAGACGAAAATGATTAATTTGAACTATAACAGTAGATTAGATTCCTATTTTTCCATGCTGGTTGCACACAAAGCTATTTTTTGCAGTGAAATGTGTAATGCTGGTTCTGAAATATCTATTAAATTATTTTTTATGAATTCTATCAACAAAGTTTGACAAATATAGTATATATATACTGAAAATCCGGGAGAAAATGGACCAATTTTAACGTAAAATTGACACTTTTTTGATAATATCTGAAAATTTACATCATATACCCCCACTTTTGATGTTCTTTTCTAAATATTTAATTTTGATCATTCAGAAAAAGTTTGACTTTAAAATTTTTAGTTTTTTTGAAAAATCACATTTTATTAGTGCAAAAAGGTCAAATAATTGATTATGCGAAGCAATTTGAAACTTTTTCTATGTCACAATTTTAAAGTGTCTTTTTTTAAACAGACTTAGAGTTAATTTTGTTTCGTGCTTTAATTGTATAAAAATATTGCAGGGAAAACGTCGAAAATGTAAAAGGTCATATTAAATGTACTTTAGCGCCAAAAGAAGCATATTGACCCCCATTTTTTGATTTCAATTTTAATTAAGCTATGTATGTAGAAACTAGAAATATACTTGACGAAAAAAGACTTTAAATATCAGGATCGAACGTCGTTAATTAAGGTTCATTGACTATTTGATAAAAGAGATAATTCTCGTTGGATAAAATTACTATTTGCTGAATGTGGATTTCTTTCAAAATATACTAAAACTATGTGCATTTTAATCATATTTTTTGGGGTGAATTTTGGAGTTATCAGCATTTAAATGTCACTAAATTCATAATACATTGTTTGCTATCATTGCAGCTGATAGGAAATGTATTCAGCCCACTGACCCCAGCAATGGACAGGTTCGGTGTCAGAGCACGGCCACCACAATGCAGTGTTCAATTTCCTGTCAGGGGGGTTACAAATTCGAGTACACACCCCCCACAGAGTATGTCTGTAGGGACGGCACATGGAGCCCCAGTCCTACTTTCCCCAAGTGTATCCCAGGTAAGTGTTAATCCCTGCATACATATTTGCATCCCATTATTAAATGTTGCCAGTTTATAATGTTAAAATTTGACACTTATAAGCATAATATGGGTATTTTGATACTTTATCATATTGTTTATGATTTCTAAAATTAATTTGTTTCATTACTTTCTTTGTAGCTGGGCAGTCCACAGGTAAATACCTATAGATATTTAAGAATCCAAATGAAAAGATATATTTTAAAGAAAATTGATGATATAAAGTGCTTTATTTTAAAAAATTCTTTGTCCCCCTCCCACCTTGAAAAAATGCCAGATTTTCCATTGTATTGTAGTGAGTCCACCCACACAGCCGACCCCGGCTTTTGTACGAGATGCCATGTGTGTGGCCTGGGGACAGGACCATTATAGGACTTTTGACGGCAACGTTTTCTCGTATCAAGGCCAGTGCGAGTATGTGCTTGCCAAGGACTGCAGCGGAAACTCATTTCATGTGAACGTCATCAACGATCGCAGCTGTACACCAAATGCTCCCTGTCATAGGTAAAACATGAAAGAATGTTATGATATTAAATTTTGATTTTTTTTTGTAATCAGCTTGCCTTTGAATAAAGGCAGCCTAACAGTGTTTTCCCTTAATAGAATCATCTAATGGCCAAGTTGTCCCCTTAATGCTGCTTTGAAATAAATATAATTAAAATATTGTTTAGTTGTTGTAAGGCTCACAGATATATGTTATAAACCTCTATCTATAGCCAAGCTGTTACAATTGATCTCAAACGCTTTACCACTTTGAAATAAAGGGAAAACACTTCCCTAGTAGAGTTCCACAAGATTTGAATTAAATTTTAAAAATAATTTAAAAAATAATTATTATCTATTTACATTTTTAAAAAAAAAATATTTTTATACTATTTATATAACAGTCATTTATAACTCAGTAAGTAATTAATAATTTTTGTTACCAGGAATGTAGATATTCATTTTGGCTCAACAAAAGTGCAATTTAAGGCCGAAGCTTCCGGAGAGAAAGTACTCTGGGATGGAGCAGAACTCACCGTCCCTACAAGCAAAGACCGAGTGGAAATAATAAAAGTCGGCCACTACACCATTCTGACACATTCAGTTCTAGGCTTTAAGGTACCATGTGCAGTGATTAAGGTTCATTGAAAGGCTGATGAGAGAGATGACTCTCACTAAAATTAATGACTCTCATTCCTTCATGCAATTATTGTCAAGTTTAAGGGCCTTTTCTGTGAAATTTTGCTCTGCAAGGTGTGCTGATATTTTTTGCATTCATACTATTTTTTTTTTTTTGAAAAATCACTACAGTATAGAGATAATGAATCATAAAAAATAGTTGTTCATTCCCTTGAACTACATATGTGTAAAGTTTTGTTGAAAAATTTGTTTATAATTTAGGGGAAAAATGTAGGCCTCCCAGTTTTTGAACACAATACTGGGAAAGAATTATCACTGCAATTTTTTGGAGTATAAATGCCATGTTCATATTTTGAATTGAGTTATATGCTCATTGAAAAATTTTTTTTTTAAAAGACGATTCCTGTCTCCAACCCCAACCCCCCATCACCTATCTGCAATAATGCATATATACTCTTTACAGTATATCCATATTATTCATGTAGGTGCGATGGGATGGGAGAGAATCTGTCTTTGTTTCCATCAATGCCGCTCTGAAGGGTAAGATGTGTGGTCTTTGTGGTCTGAATGACGGAGATAGAACGAACGACTTCAAAACCTCCTCAGGGGCCACAGTCACCAAGGCAGACATGGCAACCTTTGGAAACTCATGGAAGGAGACCGCAGCAGGAGGTGAGTTGTGTTCAGTGTGGCAGGAGTAGAGTAAATTAAAATGTATTAGTAGTCTCAGCAAGGTTTTTTTCAAATTGCAGAGGAATTAGATAGGGATGGGTATCGCCAAAAATTTTGTATCGTGATATATCACGATTTTTTTCCCAAAATATCACGATAATATCATGATATTTTTACACAAGCAATTTATGCATGATTTTAAATGAATAGTCATTATTTTTCTTTAAAATATGCCAGAAAAACAAAATTTCACTTTTTTGAACTTTTTATGTACCTAAAATTAATCATGTTTGGATGGTAAGATGCCGTTCTTTTCACCTTTTACGACATTTTTAGACTTTCTGTAATTGTAATTTGAAGATTGAACAAATAAATGAACAATTTTGGACTTTCTATTAATTTTTTTTCAAATAATAATTCTGGATCTTCTAGATATAGTATGTTTTTTTGAGGGAAAATATTGGTGATTAGGTGTCCTTAAGACTTTAACAATTTAAACTAAGGAGATTAATATATGATTTGTTTCGTAATATCCCGAAAGGTCTCTTAAGTTTTTTTACCTTTACTTTGTTGTTTATAAATTGATATGGAAATTACTTAAATATACATAGAAATTGTACCAAAGTTTCTGAATGTTTCTTATTTATGAAGCTAAAATGTCTCTAGAATTATTCTTGATATTAATGTAGCACGTACTGTCCTTAAATAATTGTTTTTCTTTAGCGGACACTTGCCCTGATAGCACACAGAAGTCATGCACAGCAGCTGGCAGTACTCAAGCTCAGACAGTGTGTAGCCATCTGACCAGTGGGAGCTTCCAGGCTTGTAACTCTGTAAGTAAAGGCCTGTAACTCTGTAAGTAAAAGGCTGTTACTCTGTAAGTAAAGGGCTGTAACTCTGTAAGTAAAGGGCTGTTACTCTGTAAGTAAAGGGCTGTAACTCTGTAAGTAAAAAGTTGTAACTCTGTGAGTAAAAGGCTGTAACTCAATAAGGAAAGGGCTGTAACTCGGTAAGTAATGGGCTAGAAGTACTAATTCACAGGATAACAAAAGGTTATAACTTTGTAAGAAAAAAGCAAAAAAAAAAAAAAATCTTATTTTAATTTTCCCCAGGTCTCATGTCAGAGACGTACAAGTACTATTTGTACCAAACACTATTTTCTCCAACTACAGGATCATTTATTTTCAGTTTTGTCATCCATGTATTTTTTCCCACTTTTCTCTTTTTCCTTTGACAGAAGGTAGATCCTACCCCCTATATAGAGGCCTGTAAGCTGGACTGCTGCAGTGGCGGGGATTCTACCACATGTGGCTGTAAGAATTTCGAGGCTTATGCACGTGCATGTATGGACGCGTCACCCACACTTAGAGATCTGACCTGGAGAACAAATCAACTCTGTCGTACGTAGTCGTACAAATGTACCTTATTTGTTTACAATTTTGTTGTTGGTAAAAAACTAATGATTCAGTAGGAAGTCTTCTTTACTTGTCTTTGATCCTGTATATATGAAATTAGAATATTGGGAAGGTTTAAAGAAAAACTTAACAAAATGAGCATCCATGTAAAAAATTTTTCCTCTCATTAATTAGTTATAATGTGTCTTAATGTACATCTGTAACCATATCAGTTGAAGAACTACATCAATCTAAGTGTACATGTATGATAAGTGTTACATTTTTTCTACAGCGGCCCCATCTTGCCCTAACAATCTAATCCACAAGGAATGCGGTAACTGCCAGCTGAAGTGTGGCGCTGGGTCTAACGTGGCCGGCTGTAAGGAGACCACCTGTTTTGATGGCTGTTTCTGTCCCCCGGGGATGGTCCTGGATAAGGGTGTTTGTGTGTACCCTGAGCAGTGTCCATGTTTACACGGGGACAAGATGCTACCGGCTGGCTCGGTGGTACCCAAAGACTGCAACAAATGGTCAGTGATGATTTATTTTAGTGTCAGATAAATATAGGGTTAATTGAGATTAGTGTACCAGTACATCACCCTATATTAGGCTTTAAAGGGGGTGGAGGGCTAAGTCGATTATTTTTTAAAATTAATTATGCTTGTATTTTAAAAACAAAAATCCTATTTATTTCTGGACATCTATGAGACAAGCTTCATGCACTGGTTAATGAAAATAGAGTCCTAAGCATATTGTTCAAATGATTTCATGTCCCTTGGACCCAAAGTTTAATCCCAGGTGGGGCAGGCAAAGCCTTATAAAACTTGTGACTTTTAAGTTACCTTCAAGACCCATGCGTCTCTTATTCATGGATGATGTTATTCAGAACAGATAGGAAAAAATGTATCCTTCTTCTTGTCAATTCTAATTATACAAACCGAAATGGTTTAAATGAATTACTGGTAAGCACATTATTGAAAAAAAGGAGGTATTCATAAATGTTTGATGCTGAAGTTGACGACAAGTTTCATGGTAATTAAGAAATAAGTCCACATTTTCATAAATGTTGCAGAATAACCTCGGAGATCTAGAAATGTTTTTTGAAAGATTAAAGTCGAGGCAATAACTGTAATAGAATTTCTGGCACATGTAATATGAGTGTTTGTGTATTGCAGTACATGTAAATCTGGCAAGTGGGAGTGCACCACTAAACGCTGTGCTGGTACCTGTGCGGCCACGGGGGATCCCCACTACCTGACATTTGATGGGGTCAGATACAACTTCATGGGGATCTGTAGCTACTACATGGTCCAGGACAATGATTTTGACGTCATCGCCAACAACATTGCTTGCGGTCACGGACACGCCTCCTGTACTAAATCCATCAGCTTCAACTACAATCATCACTTTGTCACCATGGACCACAACCATGTGTTGACTATTGATGGCCATGATATTACCCGGCTGCCTTATAAGGAGAACGGAATACAAATCTTCATGGTGTCATCCTTATTCATGAAGGTACATTAGATTCAAAATGAATTATTTATGTTATAACCTTAAAAAAATTAGAGAAATGAATAATTACCCCCCAAAAATTCATTGACATGAAGAAATTGTTAAGATTAGATCTAAAATTATCTGAATATCTCCAAGTAACAACCCTAAATAATACAAGAGTAAATGATATGACATTCCATGTAATTAAAAACTGATACAATTTCTCCCCCTCTCCCTTAACAACTCCAAGTAAGCAATACCATTCAAAATTGTAAAATAAACATGAGGCTTCATTAAGGTGACTGAAACTGAAGCAAAATTGTTCCCCTACGTACCCTATGGAATTTGATTTTTGTCTCATGCTTTGAAAGTAAGCAATGCCATTCAAAATTGAAAATAAATGTAAGACATGTTAAACTTTTGCTTGATTTTTGAACCTTTCAATTGTCAATGTCAGGCCGTCCTTGGAAACGGAGTTGAAATCCTCTGGGACGGAAGAACAAGGGCATACATCACCATGCCAACGACCTTCTTCAACAATACCAAGGGCATGTGTGGAACCTGGGATCACAATCAGAAGAACGAGTACCTGACGCCTCACGGAGACATCGAACCCAACACCAATCTGTTCGGTAACCACTGGAAACTGCAGGCTAACTGCCGCAACGAACCGGAGAACGCCACCACAGACCCCTGTGTTGATAACGCCGCAGGGAAGGCTCAAGCCGTGAAATACTGCGCCTACCTCAAAGGAGATGTGTTCAAACGTGAGAATTTAAAATAAAATTTTTAAAAAATAATCATAGAGGATATATAATAAGGAATGATTTACTTGACTTTTAAAATACTGTCTTTCTCTTTCTGGGAAAGGGTAGGGTTTTAGAAAAAAAGATAATGTTTTCAGTATCATTTATTTTGAAGTTCAACATGTTCAAGTTTTAAAAACTTAAAGTCACAATTAAGTGAATCTTCAAGTTTCCTACCAGATATTTTTTCTTCTGCAGTTATATTTTGTTTCAATATGAAATTTTTATAAAGAATTCTGTTTTATATTTTATTTTATAGCCTGCCATGCTTTAGTGGACTATACTCCTCTCTATGAGAACTGTATGTTTGATATGTGTGCATGTACTGATAATCTAAAAGACTGTCTGTGTCCGATGCTGGCTCAATACGCTGCGGACTGTGCTGCCTCTGGCGTAAATCTACATTGGAGGAACAGTATACCAGAGTGCCGTAAGTATCCAGCAGAATACTGTGTACATTGAAATTTTCACCCCCATTTTATTTTCGCCCCTTTTGCCCTCATTTGGGTGAATTTAAAATGGGGCGAATTCAAAGAATACAGTATAATGTCTTAAACAAAACTGTGACTGGGCAAATTTAAAATGGGGCAAAATTGTTTGCAAGTGTAAAAGGGCGAAAATAACATGGGGCAAAAAATAACCCTGTATACAGTATTGTTCAGTATGAATATTTTGATGATTTTCTCTGCCAAATGCATTTTGGTGATACATGTACATATGTACAATGTTTGTTCAATTTCTTGCTGAAGTGTTATTAACATAATGATAGTTGAGATTATTTGATTAATCAGTTATTTAAGTTTAAGAATGTCTAAAACATTAAAAAATGAAATATGCAAATTAATTCTGTTACTGTAACAAAATCTCTGCATACTCTAATTTGAATTTGTATATATACTAGTATCAACATACAGGAGACCTTCATTCAAATTTCTACTATTCAATATTTCTGTTTTTAATTTTATCTGAAGGTTTACCTTGTACGGGTGGACAGGAGTACAAGAACTGTCCCAACGAGTGCGTGCGTACTTGCCACATCATATCCAATAACCCGGTTTGTGACCAGGACCTGACCCGCTGCGCCGAGGGCTGCTCCTGCCCCGAGAACCAGACCCTGAACGACCACGGAATGTGTATCCCCATCAGTCAGTGTCCCTGTGAGTTCGGCACCAAACAGTTCGCCCCAGGAGTACAAACCAAAATGGAAAACCAAATCTGGTGAGTAGCATTCATTTTAACCATAGCATTAATTTTAACCCAGATCTTGTGAATAACATCAATTTGAACCAAATCGGGTGAATGCTGAACCCAGATCTGGTGAATAGCATAAATTTAAACCTAGATCTGGTGAATAGCATCAATTTGAACTGAATCTGGTGAATAACATTACATTCATATAAACCAAATCTGGTGAGTAGCATTAATTTAAATCTAGATCTGGTGAATGGCATTAATTTAAATCCAGATCTGTTGAACAGCGTTAATTTAAACCAAATCTGGTGAGTAGCTTTAATTTTAAACCAAATCTGAATAGCATAAATTTAATCCAAACGTGGTGAATAACATTCATTTAAACCAAATTGGGCGAATAGCATTAATTTAAACCAATTTGGGCGAATAGCATTAATTTCAACCAAATCTGCTGAATAGCATAAAATTTAAACCAAATCTGGTGAATAGCATTTAAATTAAACTAAATCTGGTGAATAACATGAATGTTATTTTATCAAATTCATGAATTTGTACTATGTGTAAGATAAGTCAGTTCCATTTAATTTCTTTGTTTAATGTGTACAGTTTCATGAATTTTCACATATGAATATGATGAAATATGTGGAGATAATGAAAAGTATTCAAGCTCAAAGGATCAGGTGCCATGGATGTTGTAGAACTGGGTAATAAGTTTGAAGTAATGAAATGTCTATATTTCTAAAATAATATCTTTCTTAGTGTGAAAATAATGAGATCATCTAATCTTAACAAGAAAAAATGTTTGAAAATTAGGGGGGAAAAAGAAAGGAAAAGGAAGGAAATCAAAGCAATGATAAACTAGAAGCAGATAAATATAATGAAACTTTTTGCTCTGATTGAATTTCTTTCTAAAATTTTGATATTGAAAGTAACAAATGTATGTACATGTATTTCAGCACCTGTGAAAATGCCCTTTGGAACTGCACCCCAATTACCAACACAACCAAAGTAGAGGTCCCCAATATTTGTAAAGAGACAGAAATTTATACCAATTGTACCTCTCTCTGCCCCCTCACGTGCGAGAACATTGGGGCACCTCCCACCTGCCTGCCCCCTGCCGCCGATGACTGTACCCCCGGGTGTATATGTAAGGATGGATATGTATGGGACGGTAATGACTGTGTACCCAGACTAGAGTGCCCCTGCTACCATGGGGGAAAGCCATATAAAGAGGGGGAAAAGTACTACCAGGAGTGTAATGAATGGTAAGTGGGGGGGGGATATACTGAAACTCAAAGGGAAACTACTCATTTATACCATAAGAATTTTGAATATCTTATGCAAAAAATTCATACACATTGTATTCCTTGTACATTAAAATTCAGTGATGCTTTTGAAAAAAAATGTTTCTTGAACATGCACAATAATTAATAAAAGCTAATTATACTTAAATTATGAATTACAGCACTTGCAGTGGTCAGAATTGGGTGTGCACACACAAGGAATGCCCCGCAGTTTGCAGTGCCTTTGGTGACAGTCACTATACGACGTTTGACGGCAAACATTATGAGTTCCAGGGAACCTGTAGTTACATCTTGGCCCAGTCTACCACCGATAACCCTAGTAAATTCGTGATCTCCACAGAAAACATGCCCTGTGGAAGTACAGGGGTCGCATGCACCAAGTCCATCCACTTCACTATCGGGGAACCAGGTAAATTTCGTGAATTTTTAATAATAATAATAGTAGTTTTATAAAGTACTAAATATATAATAAAATTTTACTCTTAAGTGCTGTACATTAAAATGCTGGTGAATATAAGAAATATGAATTAATTAATGTGGTTCTAAGAGTGAAAATCATGATACTGTAATCTCAGATTTGGTGTCTTCCTAAGAGACAAAGTCTGCTAAGAGGTGAATGTTTTTTCAAAGGAAACTTTTCTGTACATGCATGAAAATATATTTTGACTGGATTTAAGCATTTTAATTTTCCAATCTGTAGCTTTTCTTTGGAATTTCAGTGAAATCTCAATATGGAATGTCAAACTGTGTTTATAGTACATTAAAATGTAAATTCTGATAACTTTGAATTGTGTCAATATTACATGTTAAAATTTTATTTTATTCATTAGTTTATTCAAGCAAATCTTTGGCAATTTATAAAATGGTGGCTATTCTTTTCCTACACAATGAATGATTACCCCCCAAAAAGAAGAAAAAAATAAGGCTTGTGTGTTATGGCAAGAAGTACATGTATTTTACATAAAAATTTTAAAATGCCCTGTTAAAACCTAGAATGAAATGTTTCTTCAAAGAAACATTAATTTTGTTTTTTTTTCTTAACTAGGGACTGCTACTTACTACCAACTGACCTTGATTCGGGGGAAGTCCCCTCAAGTGGACGCCAATACCCCGTTCTCTATCCAGGACACAGGGAGCTTCTTTGTTATCAAGACCCCCACGGGAATCACCCTCACCTGGGACAAGGGGACCCGGGTATACCTCAAACTGGCCACTCAGCACAGAGGGAAGGTGAGTAGGTTTTAATTGGTAAATGACATAGATGGTGGAGATTGTCTTCAGCTTAAACTGATTGTGTTGAAATAATTCTGCATGGAACTTCTATGGGGAAAAAATTACTTTTTATCAAATAAAGTAACTTTCTTTTTCTTTTGAAGGGGGAGGGGTTGTAGTTGCATGGGTTTAAGAATTTATTTTAAAAAAAAACCGAACAAAATAAGCATGCCAAACAAATACACAAACAAATGAAATAATTAAATTTATATATAATACCTTGTTGAGTGCTTTGATACAATAATTTGTAATGATATAAGGCTAAAATATAAAGTCTGAGAATAAAAATAGTCTCTTAATTTTTCATACTTTGAGTGTAGAAGTTAATTGTTTCTTCCTTGTTCGTAGGTGGAAGGACTCTGTGGAAATTTCGATGGAGACCAAGGGAACGACTTCACAACCCCACAAGGTGGCCCCCCACAAGTACAGGTCACGACCTTTGCCGACAGCTGGCAGGTGAACCCTGACCTTTGTGTGCCCTCTAAGACAGTGACAGATACCTGTAAACAGAACCCTGAGAGAGAACAGTGGGCCAAGAGTAAATGTAGCATCATCAGCAGCTCCATCTTCCAGCCCTGCCACGGCGTGATGCCAGACTACCTGGCATATCAGTCTAGGTAAGATAGATCTGTCCAGGTGTGAAAAAGGTCAGGCCCTGGGATCATAAAGCAGACTCAGACTTAATTCTTGATTTTCAATCGGCTGTGAGCTGTTTATTATTCATTGAATCAATCTCTAAATTGCAGCTAACAACACATTTATGAAGTGATATTGAAAAATATATTAATTTTAGTCTGCTTGATTAAAACAACATTTTAAAGCAATATGAGCTGCATGTTTGACACCAGGAAAAAAAATTGCAAATTTGTAATTAACTATTTTAATGACAGAAAAATAGAACATTTATAAACTTCTGTTGTTAATATTTGCCATGGAAGAACTTTTTATAAGCTTTGATTTAAGCAAAATTCAATTATTGTCGTCCTGTACAATAATGATTTCTTATATAATGCTGTATATTCGGTTGTACAGAAATGTTTCCTCTAAAACATTTTTAAACTTTATTTTGGTCTTATTGATCTTAAGGGCTTACTAGATTACATACAGACAAATCATAATAACACATTTTACCAGCAAAATAAAATTCTCAAAAATGCAGCTCATATTGCTTTAATATAACATCTGTATTTTGACTTAAGCTTAAGACATTTCATGATCCCCAGGCTATGGGCCAATTTTAACTTTAAACTAAAGCCAAAAGCTGAAGATGATGGTATAATTTTGCAAAAATACTGTGCATGTACGAAAAAAGCGGGCTTCAAATTTTAGAGGTTTTGGCGCAGACATGAATACCGCTAAGAAATCATTTACTTATACTGTACAAAACAAGGCATGAACATGTGTAGCGCTAATTCATGATTATGCAAACAACTCTATACCCCTTGACTCCGCTTAGTTTTGAATGTGCCAATTTATATATACAGTTATCATGCTTACAGTAAATAATAATGCTTGAAATTCACAGCCCATAAATTTCTTGTTAAATTATTTTTTTTAAAAAGATTAAATTTGTTTCCAAATCAATGTAACATACTAGTATATTAAGTAATCAACATAATTTAATTCGGTCTTAGTAGTAGGTTCTTTTGTAAAATGGACCCTATAGATACCTAAATAGACAAACAAGTATAACTAACTGTTGAAGGTGTATTTTCGATGCCTGTGCCTCTCGTTGTAATGTATAACTAACTGTTTAGGTGTATTTTCAATGCCTGTGCGTCTTGTTCTAATGTTGTTGGTGTATTTTCGATGCCTGTGTGTCTTGTTGTAATGTATAACTATCGTTGTTATAGGTGTATTTTCGATGCCTGTGCCTGTGACTCCGGTGGAGATTGTGAGTGCCTGTGTACTGCTATCGCGGCCTTCGCCCACGAGTGTGCTGTCCAGGGTGTCCCCATCAAGTGGAGGAACCCAGCCCTCTGTCGTGAGTTGGATTTATTTTGTGCTAGATAGACTGTCAGAATGAAAACAAAGTAATAATTTAAAAGCTCAAATCCAATAGAAAAAATTTCTTCACAAGTTTAGTAAAGCAAAAACAAATAAAAATGAAATATATAACACAATAAAAAAATTGTCTTTTTACACATGCATGACTTGTGTGTATTGCTGAAAAAAAAACCCATAGGTCTAGATGTAATTTTTTATCCTACGATTTTTGAATATTAAAGAAAAAGGTCCTCGTAACCTGATTTAATTTTGTAATTTTTAATAATATAAATTAGGGATGTCAAAACTCGGTTACTCGGACGTTTTCCCGATCGAGTACCCGGGTACTCGGTAAAAAGTGTAAAAAAAATATGAATAAGTGAATTGATGACTGTAAAACATGGTAAACTCTTGTAGAAATAAAACCAGATGCACTGATAGGAGGCTTATCCGTAAATGTATTTCTTTTGTAATAATGATGAGCACTTCGTGCCCGACGAAATTAAACATTTTTTAAAATTCAATTTATTTATCAGATAAACACATGAAATAAAATCATAAATGGTTCACAGTGTTTTTGTTTAAAAAAATAATTTGCTCTGTAATTGTAATGTAACTCTTTGTCGCGTTTGACGACAAATCAGTTGTCAGAGCTACGTACGGTATAACTTGCAAATAGCGGATTTGCGATTTTCGTACACTTTTTCGATCCTAGATTTTATAATATTAACGGTATTTTGTAGTTTGGTGCAACAATGGCCATCAGTTTAATTAAAGCCTTTGCCTACAACCAGTTGTAATCAAACACAACTATATCGATAATCGCACATGTAATATCATCCGCTCTTTTCCCGAGAATTTACGGCTTCTCGGAGAATTGACAAAAATATCTAATTTATTTAAACCTAATGGATTTAATACGATGTTCAGTGAAAACAAATAATTAAAGCCAAACAAAAAATAAGGGTAGAAGACAGCCGAAGGTGAGAAAAGTCAGGTACCCCAAGTGCTTGGTCAATAATTACTGTATAAACACTGCCACAGGCGATAACGGTCATTTAGAGTCGTAGTAAACCCTAATTACTGTATGTACAAGTGCAATGAGCATTTTACGTTTTAAAAGAGATTGTTTAATGCATAATAAATAAGCTTAGAAATATTCAAAAATATACATCCGAGTAACCGAGTACCGATTTTAGTATTCGATACTCGGACGTTCGATCGAGTACCCGGTTAACCGGGTACTCGTTGACATCCCTAATATAAATATTATAATAATATAATAATATTATAATAATTATATTAAAAATACAAATGACTGAAAAAAAATTAGTTTTTAATAGGAATTAGGTAATCAGTGTACCATGTTTGTTTTGTAGCTATCCAGTGTGAGGAATGTGAAACATACAACCCTTGCATTTCATCCTGCCCCAAAAAGACGTGTAAGAATCACCTGACTTACGACCAGGTAACCAAGGACCTGGGGTGTAAGGAAGACACCTGTATTGAGGGGTGTGACATCAAGGCCTGTGCCCCGGGAATGGTGTATGACCGGGACTCCGCCCCTATGAAGTGTATCCCCGAGCCATTCTGTAACACCCCAGCCTGTACGGTCAATGGGAGACAGTACCGACTCTATGAACAGATTAAGGACCCTGCAGTGTGCAGGCAGGATTGTGAAGTCTGGTAGGTGGAGTTTCTTTAGTTTGCTGAAGCTATCTTAAACCCTGTTTTATGATGGAAAAGAATTCATGATGTCACATTTTAGTAACAATTCAAAAAAATATGTTATTGCTGGTTTAACTCATTGCAATCATAGCAGTTCTAAATTCTAAATCTCTTTCTTAGAAACAAATGTTAAAATCTGACACTCTAAAACCACACAAAACAATTTTTCATCTTTAAAAAGCGGTAAAATATGTACACAAAAAAGGTAAACTTTGAGCATATGTAGATTTGGCACTTTCTTTTTATATATATTTGACTAATGATGAAAATCTTTAATAATATTTTTATATGACTAAATTCCTCGTATCTAAACAGTACCTGTGGTCCAGATGGTAATGTTATGAGGAATAGCGTTTGCCAGAGTACAACTGCACCAGTGACCCGATTCCCACCCGTAACCTACCCAACCACCTCTACTGTTGCTCCTAATGCATATAGTCAAGGTAGTTTACTTTATGAATCAATTTCCCCCCCCCCCCCCCCCATTTTTAGCTCGCAGTTCTTATTCATGCTAACAACAGTCAGACAATTTCTCAGACCTCACTTCATTCATGATAGAATTGTTCTCTTTTTCCTGTAAAAAATATTTTGTTCAATTTTTTTCCTGTAAACATTTTTTTTTCAATTTTCATCCATTATTCACTTAGGCGTTCCTACATTTTCGAAACACGCCGGACACGACGGATTTACACCCCATCTCAAGAAGCCTCACTGTAAGGATGGATGGACCAGTTGGATGAGCGTCCACAGTCCGACTCAATCCGATCCAAATGACGTAGAGGTCAGCAAGAAGCTGCGGATACAGTACACGTACTGCGCCGACAGTCAACAGAGATCCATTCAGTGTCGCGTGGTCGGGACGGGGGTCGACGCCCATCAGTCGGGTCAAACCGTGTTGTGTGACCTTGGGAATGGTCTACTGTGTAGGTCCGTGGATCAGAAGGGAAATGAAATCTGCTACGATTATGAAGTCCGATTCGAATGCGACTGTAGTAAGTACCTTGAAGTCTTTTTATATGAGATTTTTATATTGCTGGGATGTAATGTATTGTACATGAGAATTGAAAGCAGTTTGTGAATCAGGATGGTTTACTGTTAACTGTTTTTCATACATTTATTAGGATGCTTATCCTCAAGCTTTATGGCAGATTAACCTTATTTGCAAACAGGACTTAATTAGCTGGTGAATTCTTGAAACCAGTTTTTTGGAACATTGGGTTTTTTATTAGTTATTTGTCTTATTAAATGTACTTTTTTACATGCTGAATATTTCATGTAAATGTCAGAATTTTTATACATCTCTTGTTATTTTTAGGCCTGTCTACCCCGGCTCCAACTTCCCCCACCACTCCCAAGTCCACCACCGCTTTCTTCACCGGTAAAATCCCACTCACGGACGACTTTGGTAATCCCGTTCTGCGACCGCTCACTGACCAGTTCCACAAACCGGTCACTGATGATTTTGGAGAGACGGTTTCCCTGGTTCCAGCGTATATCACTCAGGCCAGACCCACCCCTTCACCACCAACTGATGAATTCGGAAGACCTTTCGTGATGTACCCAAAAACCGACGAATTCAAGAATCCAATCTTGGTCCCTAAGACAGATATTTACGGCAATCCGGTTACAGACGCTTCTGGCCACACCACCATGATACCAGAGTACGTGACACAGGACATCCCTACAGCAGCTCCACCTACTGATAGATTCGGAAACCCAATTCTGTCACCCAAAACTGACGAATTCGGAATTCCCCTCAAGAAGCCCACTGTCACTGATGCATTTGGTCAGCCCACTGCTTCAAACAACACCCTGACTCCCCAACCATTCAAATGTGTGCAGGGCTGGTCTGAGTGGATGAATGTAGATACCCCTAAAGGTGAAGGAGCCTCCAGTGAGATTTACGGTGCTGGGGATATCGAGAGCCTGTCCGCCCTCAGGCAGAAATTTGGCTTCTGCGCTCACCCTACCGCCATCAAGTGTCAATCAGTTCTGGACAAAGTCCCCTACACTGTGGCTGGGGACGTGGATGTGGTGTGTGACGTCACCAAGGGACTGCTCTGTGTGAACAGGAAACAGACCAGTGGGCTATGTGAGGATTATGAGGTGTCTGTCTACTGCGACTGTGGAGGTAGGTCTTAAACTGAACACACATATAAGTTATACAGTCGAACTTCAGTACCTCAAATACTTTTATCTTGGATATGTTTAAGGGATTTGAAGTCCTGTTTACTTTTTCCTTATGTTTTGTTGCCTTGATATCTTGAATCTTTGGATAATTTTTCTTCTTGATCCCATCAATTGAGTAATAGATAAATGATTTTTGACGGTATTTGGGAAATAAAAATATTGTAGTTTTCAAGTCAATGAAAAGAATTTGTCATAATGATTTGTTGCATAAACCTGTAGACAAGTCTTTTTGAAATTGCAAAATAAATGTTTTACTAGTTGACAAACATTGAGACAGTTGATGTGAGTTATTGTTGTCATGATTTGACAATTTTTTTTTTTCAATCTTACTGTTTGTTTTTTAGAAACAACCCCCAACCCACCCTCAGGCTCCACCCCCGCGCCCAGACCAGGTGAGCCCCACCCCCCTGTTCCCTCGTGTGAGTGGACACAGTGGATGAACAGTCACAAGAGGGCACCAGGAGACATTGACGAGCGCGAGACTCTGAGTCAGTTACGTCTCCACTACGATTTCTGTGAATTCCCATCAAAGATAGAATGCCGCGACGCCCAGACAGGTCAGATGTTTGATAAGACGGGAGATCTTGGGGTGACGTGTGACATTAACCGGGGTCTTGTTTGTGAGGATCTCTACCAGAATTCTGCCGAGGGTTGTCGGGATTATGAGGTCCGAGTTTACTGTACGGACGCTTGTCAGACCACGATCAAACCCACGGTCTCGTCTCTCTGCGAAGAAGGATGGACGGACTGGATAAATAACGTACATCCCTCAGCAGCCTCCCCCGTGGATGTGGAAGTTCCCAGGAGTATTCCAGGGTTCCCTGCCACCTGTAACGAGGTCATCGCAGTACGCTGCTCGGTCGCTGCCACAGGATTGGATTACAAGAGTAAAGGAGAGAACGTCATGTGTACGACAGCTGGTCTTAAGTGCACTCCCAAGCCAGGGGACACTTGCGAGGATTACCAAGTGCAGTTCTATTGTGCTTGTAAGTGTTTAATTATTATATATCTCAAAAACAAATAGATCAGAATTTTTCATATAATTGCCATGATTGCTGATATTTTTCCGTATATTTTCATATTTTTTTTCATATGTAATTGCTTAACTCATTCGTGAATTTTTTTGCATCACGAGATCACATAAACTTGATTTCATCATCGATATGTATACATGTATAAAAAGTCATTTAAATTGTATTTTGAAATCCATACATTGTTTTAACCAGTTGAAAAAAACTTAAAGATGAGAATCTCAATAAAATAAATTTTATAGCCTTTAAAATTAGAAACACAAGAATTCTCTTACAATGTATTCTTATCTATAGGTGCCCAGCCTCCTGTTCCACAAACTGATATTTTCGGAAACCCAATACTCATTCCAAAGACCGATGCCTTCGGCTTCCCAGTCTTGAGACCCAAGACTGATGCTTTTGGACAACCCGTCACCGACAAAGATGGCCACACTTTCATGGTTCCAGTTCCTGACAACACAACTCAACCAACTCCCAAACCAGAAACCGATGCCTTCCATAATCCAATCATGGTTCCCAAAACGGATGTGTATGGACAACCCGTCACTGACAAGAATGGAAATCTGGTTCTGGTTCCAAAACCAGACAACCAGGCCATTCCAAGCACAGCTTCCCCCGTAACCGGTTCCCCGGAACCAGGGAAGATTGTGTGTAACTCAGGCTGGACCTACCCCATGAATGTGGACTCTCCCAGCACTGGGGATGGGGATCTAGAAACTTTGGCCAAACTCCGAAGCAAGTTTTCCTTCTGTCACGAGGATGATATTGTGGCTGTCACTTGTAAAGAGGTAGGAAAAGGAAAAGTTCCAAGTAATTGAAGTTATTGATTATTTCTACTTCATATGTACAGAGTTAGGAAAGGGAAAAGTTCCAAGTTAATGAATTTGATTGTAAGATTAGTTGGCAAAACCAGATTAAGATTTTTTTCAACATCTTTCAATTTCCTAGACAAAATCAGGACACACAACAGATTAGAGTAGTTAGTATGTATCATTAAGTAAAATTTGACTCATTCAGATATCAAGAATAGTTTTTTAAATGAAATATTGCATTGTAAATCATTATTTTTCACAGTTATTAAGTGGCCTGACCCCTGCCGATCTAGGACAGAAGGTCACCTGTGATAAGAATGGACTCACTTGTCTGAATGCTGATCAACCCAGCGGCAAATGTCATGACTATCTGATACAGTTCTACTGCAACTGCAAGCCCACTCCAGGTATAAAACAAGAAAGAAAACCCAGACCTGGTCCTCTTTTTATCTGCTTATGGATTTTCGGGAAAAATACATATACATGCATTTTGAAGAGCCTTATTTTTATGAAGATAGCTCATGATTTATGATTAATTTACAAGACAAACAATTTGTAATTGGAGTTCCTTCATATGCTAATACTAGTGATGAGGAATTTTTCATGAAAGTTTAAATAAAGTTACTACAAACAAAATGATTCATTGACAACAATTTGTGAGAAGAGGAAAACTTTACATTAAAAGGAAATTCTTAATGAAAATGTCTGAACACAAATTGATTTTCTATTGTAGATGTAAACATGACAGTATCCCCAAGTCCTACACAGCCTGGTCCAACCACACCCCCACTTAAACACGGAAAAGACAGTAAGTTATTGACCAGTGAAATTAGAAAGATGTAGCCTTTGTCCTTCAATTAAAAAAAAAACCATTTATACATACAGTAAATTATGCCATGCATGTAAATAGCTATTTTATATATTAATTTGTGAAGCACTTTTGATTAAAAAAAACCCAAAAACTTCTGAACATCATTCTGTTGACATAAATATGACTTTTTGTACACACAGATTGTGACCATGAGGTGGGCGTGGCAGAATTCACCCCGGACCAGTTTTTGGCCTCTTCATCCCTAGATGTGGACCACGACGCAGACAAAGCGCGACTCCGTAAATCCACTGCCTGGGTGGCAAGGTTGGAATAATGGACTGATGGGGATTTTTAAGATTTGTTTCTTTAAAATCATGTATATTCAGCACCAGTTTTGGAAGTCTAAATCAAAATACAGAAAATAATTACAATCTTCTTAACTTCTACATGGCATTCTCTAAAAATGAAAGGACTTTCTAATTTTCTAGCATTGCATACAATAATTTTTGGTATAGTGTACTTAATGTTTTTACTGGATAAAGTGATTTGAATCAAAGATTATAAATTTACTAAAAAGTTTGATACAAATTACTTAAATATTTAAATCCAGGATGTCAAGAAAATTAATAATGCATTTAATTACCTGTAATTAAATTTTAGATAATTTTTAACTTTGTTTAAGTTTGTCGCATACCAATAACATGCACTTGTTTCAACACTTCAGATATAACGATGAGCATGAGTTTATCCAGGTCAACTTCCACATCCCCACAGCAATGACAGGCGTCCGTGTTCAAGGGGACCCCAAATCCCAGTCGTGGGTCACAAAGTTCATTGTTAAATTTAGTAACGATGGCCAGAAATGGACCCCCTACTACCAGAGTTTCGCAGTGGCACCTAAGGTGTTCCAGGGAAGCATGGATAGTGACACTGTCGCTTCTGCATTTTTCGATCGGGAGGTCACGGCTCGTTACTTGCGCATCGTTCCGCAAGAGTGGCACAACCGAATAGCAATGAGATTTGAAGTCCTAGATTGTCCAAAATCTACTGGTGAGTACCCTCTGCTGTATATGTTTAAAGAAGTGCAGGTTTTTGGGCAGAAAATTTAACAATATGGAAAACATGCAAAAAATTAGCAAATTTTACTATTTTTATAGAGTATTACAAAATATGACGTACACAATGGATTCACATGAAAACATAATAAAAATATTAGAGATCTTCTTAAATTTATGTGTTTTAAATTTCAAGAGCGTATGTTTATTACTTTTTCTTTAATAATATTTTCATTACCCCCCCCCCCCCCCCCCCCCCAAAAAATGTTTTCAAGGAAACTCGCACATTCTTGTACACAAAAATTTATCATAAATCTGAAACAATAAAATTTTAAGTACCGGGATATCAAATTTTTTTTGGATGAAATGTCCAAGGGACAAAATTTATTGATGTTGAGATTAAAAGATATTAATTTTCTGTGCAATAACATTCAGCATAATTGTACAAGCTAGTTTATGTTGCCACCTTCAATTCGTTTTCGTAACATTACAGAAACACCAGCTGTTTCCACTATGTCCCCTTCAACGACACCAAAACGTAAGTCTTGATCCGAGTTTGAACAATCAGAATTATCAGTGATTATGTAGAAGTTTGCCATCATAAATTGTAAGTTCACTTTGTGATAAATTTCACCTGTTATTTTTTTTTCAGGGGAGTGTTTGGATCCAATGGGAATTGAGAACAGTGCCAAGATCTCGGATAGTCAGCTGATTGCTTCGTCTTCCAGGGACTCCCTCTCTGGGGCCTCGTCTGGTCGTCTCTTCAATGACCTTGGGGCCTGGGTCCCTCAGTAAGTCAATTTTTAAAGTTGTAATTACAGGAAAAGTGTGTTTTAATTATAAAGATTTGGCTACACTTATATTTAAATTAAATGTTTGGCTATATTTCAGTCAGTAAGAATTTCTTAGTTACAATGAACACAATTATATGAAATTTACGCTTGTTTTACTCTGCCAAAAGTTTAAAACTGTACTGTAATTTTCAAAATAAAATATAAGATCATGTCTATGACAAATCTAAATCGTTTATCCTGTGCGCTCTATTATAATCGTGTTTCACTGTATCAGCATGCTCTTTAATACATGTAAGTTGATGCTCTGATTTGCAGGGAAGGGGGTCAGAAGAACTGGATACAGGTGGATTTTGGCTCCCCCCGTAATATCTCGGGAATCCTCACACAGGGCAGTCCAGGGGAGGAGCGATGGGTCACAAATTTCGCTGTGTCTTACAGTACCGATGGCCTGGACTTCTCCCTGGTCAATGGACCTGATGGCAAGGCGGCCATGTTTACTGGAAACGTGGACCAGAACTCCGTAGTGAAAAACATGTTTTCATCCGAGATCTACGCTCGGTTTATACGGATCGTTGTCATAGAGGCCAGTGCTGGAGGGGCGGGGCTGAGGTTTAATTTACTGGGCTGCTCCCCTGAGGCTACTCAGACAACCACAGGGGCACCAAAGATCTCCACTGTCACCCCCAAACCAGTGTCAACCATAGAACCAAGTACGTGGTCATGTGGAATGATTAACACTTGTTTGTGAAATGTCTGCTTAATGTTTATCTTTCTATATTAAATTGCATATACATGTATTATGAGGTATTCATATAAAAACTTAGGCCATCAAGTAATAAAAAATGTGTTGATAATTTTTTTTTCAAAATTTTTGGCCTTAGGCTATCTAAATTTAATTCCTTGGTTCTCAGGCCAATTTTCTCCAAAACAAATGCGGGAGGGCGGCATTTTATTTTTCATTTTATTGGCAATAAAGTAGATGAGGGAGGTTTTTTTTTTAATTTTAATTTCCGAATTTTCTTTAACATAAAGATAATTTTTTAATCACAGATATACTTTCCATTTCTGGTCAAATTCTCTGCCTTATCCATTGCTTAACAGCGTGTAAACATCGTAGGTAATGTCCTCAAATGTATTTTCAAACGAAGTAGCCAAAATCTCATTGTAAATGGCTACCGGAAGTGATATTTGAATACTAAACTACGAAACAAATGAGGGCGGAATTTTTTTTCCCGGATTGGTCTCCGCAATACCCACTTTTTATTTTTAAAAAAAATACAATAAAATCGGCAATGCGGCTACCTCAAAACGGATGCGCGCGGGCCTGAGAACCAAGACTTCAATTTTATATAGCCTTATAAATCAAACCTAAGTATTTGATAGTTTTATGTACAGACTGTATTTATTACTGCTTTGTTGCACACATCAGAGAGATTAATTAGTTCTTGTTTGTTTTTGTAAGTTGCCAAATATTTTTACAGTCTGTAGTCAGTCCATGGGCATTGAGGAGGCCTCAAGGATCCCAGACCGACTTCTGATGGCATCGTCCGAGAAAAACGCCACCTACGCTGCTCCTCGAGGGCGAATCAACACGGACCATCTCTCCTGGAGGCCATCGTAAGTACCAATGTTGTCCTCAGTCTTAAAACCTGTCCTCCATATTGACCTGAAGCTCGATTTGCTAAAAATCATATCACTGAAATCCCAGTACTTTTGTTGCGTGTAAAATTTTGCAAGACAGTTTTGTTTTAAAATTGTTTGCCTAAATATTCTCTTTAATAAAATGAAAAAGATTTCAAAATCATTTAAAATTACATTTGTATTAAAATGTAAAATTGCATTTGTGGTCTTAGTCATAGTCAAAAGCTGGACCCTGAGTAATAATTTGCAGTTAAAATTGATTTGGTTTATCCAAAATCTAGGATAATCGTAGAAATTTGATGATTCCTTTACTTCATTATACCATGTTTCAAAGTTGTTTTTGTTTTGTACCTGTAGGGCCACAGATCAAACACCGTACATACAGGTAGACTTCCTGGAGCCCAAACTGATCACTGGAGTAGTGACAAGAGGGGACGGAATTACCAATAACTGGGTCAAAACCTTCACAGTGTCAACAAGTATTGATGGAACCAACTTCTCACCATACAGTGATGGAGGAATTCCAGAGCCAAAGATGTTCACTAGCAACAACGACAAAATCACGGCCGTCACAAACTTCTTCAACAGACAAGTGCTTGCCCAGTATGTGCGTATCTATCCCAAGTCAGTGAATGGAGAGGTTTCCTTACAGTTCAGTGTTCTGGGATGTAATCCTGCTCAGAACCCAGGACCCACTACTCCATCCCCTGTCGTTCCAGAAACAGACGAGTTCGGAAATCCCATCCTGATCCCAAGGACCGACGAGTATGGACGTCCCATGACAGACTTTTACGGTAATACCATTATGGTTCCTAAGCCTTACACTCAAGGCCAGCCGACTCCCTCACCAGCAACTGATGAACAAGGCCGCCCCATCATGGTGCCCAAGACGGATTCTTATGGTAAACCAATCACTGATGAACAAGGACACACAGTAATGATTCCTCTGCCTTATGACCAAGCCACTCCCAAAGCCATTCCCAAAACAGATGCTCAGGGAAATCCCATTTTGGTCCCGAAGACAGATTCCTATGGAGTGCCCATGACTGATGAAAATGGGCATACTATCATGGTTCCTTTGACTGAACCTGCAGAGAAACCCACTGTGGTGCCTGTAACCGATACTCAAGGACGGCCCATCCTGGTCCCCAAGACTGATTCTTATGGAAAGCCCATGACAGACGAGCATGGTAGCACAGTCATGGTGCCTATACCTTATACACATGGACCTCCAACTCCATCACCACAAACAGATGAGTTTGGAAATCCAATTCTGGTACCAAAGACTGACTCCTATGGAAAGCCGATGACAGATGAGCATGGTAACACCATCATGGTGCCGCTTCCTGCTTCTACTGCAAAACCCACTCCAGAACCAGTGACTGATAAGCAGGGAAATCCTGTGTTGGTACCCAGAACCGATACCTATGGAAGGCCTGTCACAGATGCTCAGGGGCATACCACAATGGTCCCTATCTATGTCACACAGAAAACACCTGTTCCCGTGCCAAAGACTGATGATTTTGGTAACCCCATCATGATCCCAAAAACAGACACCTATGGAAAGCCTATGACCGATGACTTTGGGGAAACCATCATGGTGCCTGACTACTACACTCAGGGTTTACCTACACCTAGGCCCCAGACCGATGAATTTGGACAGCCAATCCTTGTGCCAAAGACTGACACCTATGGAAAACCGATGACAGATGATTTCGGCAACACCATCATGGTCCCTCTGCCCGAGGCAACAGAGAAACCGACTCCGTCACCCAGAACCGACAAGTTCGGAAATCCAATACTAGTTCCCAAAACCGATGAGTATGGAAGACCATACACAGACAAACAGGGGCATACAGTGATGATCCCTCTGACTTATCCTCAGAGTACGCCCATACCAAATCCAGTGACTGATCGATTCGGAGTACCAGTATTAGTACCAAGAACTGATGAATATGGAAAACCATACACTGATAGGTTTGGACACACAGAAATGGTACCTATACCTTATTCACAAGGTCAGCCTACTCCCAAGCCTAAAACTGATGCTTTCGGTAATCCCATCTTAGTACCAAGGACAGATGAATATGGAAAACCATACACAGATGAGCATGGAAATACTGAAATGGTTCCAGTGCCAGAAAACCAGAATACACCAACTCCAGTGCCTTTGACTGATGAGCAGGGAAATCCCATTCTTGTTCCAAAGACTGACTCCTATGGAAAACCCATGACAGATGAACATGGTAACACCATCATGGTACCCAAACCTGCCCCAACTGGAACCCCCACTCCAGCACCACAAACAGATGAACATGGAAACCCAATCCTGGTGCCCAAGACTGATTCCTATGGCAAACCTATGACAGATGAACATGGTAATACCATCATGGTGCCATTGCCTGCGACACAAGGGTTGCCCACAGCTGAACCCTTGACTGATAAATTTGGAAATCCAGTCTTGATGCCAAAGACAGATTCCTATGGTAAACCAATGACTGATGAACATGGTAATACCATTATGGTACCGGTTCCAGCCAATCAAGGAAGCCCTACACCAGCTCCCCAGACTGATGCACAGGGACGTCCTATCTTGGTTCCAAAGACAGACTCCTATGGTAAACCTATGACTGATGAGAATGGAAATACTATCATGGTGCCATTGCCTGCCACTCAAGGACAGCCCACTCCTGTATCAGAAACGGACAAATTTGGTAATCCTATTCTGGTGCCAAAGACCGATTCTTATGGCCAGCCCATGACAGATGAACATGGTAATACCATCATGGTTCCTAAACCAGCAACACATGCTACACCAACACCAGTGCCAGCTACTGATGAACATGGAAATCCTATCTTGGTCCCAAGGACTGATTCCTACGGCAAACCAATGACAGATGCAGAAGGAAGCACCATTTTGATGCCACTGCCAGCAAATGGTAGCACCCCATTGGTTATTCCAGAGACAGACGAATTTGGAAACCCTATTCTGGTTCCACGAACTGATGAGTATGGCAAACCATATACAGACAGCCAAGGCAAAACTGTTCTGGTTCCAAAGCCAGCCACACCACAGAAACCTACACCTGAACCAGAGACTGACAAATTTGGAAACCCTGTTTTAATTCCCAGGACTGATGAATATGGAAAGCCTTATACAGATGAGTATGGCAGAACACAGTGGGTTCCCAAACCAGCTACACATGGTCTACCCACCCCAGCACCAGAAACCGACAAATTTGGAAACCCAATCTTAGTCCCAAGAACAGATGAGTATGGAAGACCATACACAGATGAGAATGGTAATACAGAAATGGTTCCCAAACCAGCTTATCAGGGGACACCGACCCCAGCACCAGAAACCGACCAGTTTGGACAACCCATTTTGGTCCCCAAAACTGACGAATATGGCAGGCCATACACAGATGAGCATGGAAACACAGTCATGGTTCCCAAGCCAGGCACTTTTGGTGCTCCCACAGTGGTACCAATAACAGATGAGTTTGGACAACCCATCCTGGTTCCTAAGACAGATGAATATGGTAGACCATACACAGACAAGTTTGGCTCTACGACAATGATACCCCTGGTACCTGTATCCCAAGGCGTGCCGACAAGGGTACCAAGAGGTGAGAGGATCTAATTAACAGATGTTTGCTGAATCCAAAAATTAGGAGAAATGTAAAGAATCTTTAATCAATCCACATATTTTTTTTGTCTTTTTTCATTAAGATTAATTTGGTGTAAGCTTTACAGAATATAGATTAAAAATTTATTTTGCTTAATATTCATGCAGAGAAGTTTGATTTCCATTCTTGAAATTTATAATCAGTCAGTACAAAATACTGTGAAATCAATAATTTTTATGGGGGATTAATTTTCAAAGGTTTCTCTTTGAAGAGAGCCACTTATTTATTTCCACCAACAATCCTCCACGAAATAAAATTCTCACAAACCCATATTTTTACCTCAAACCATGAAAATTTGACCCATCGAAAAAAATGTGATTTTACTGCAACTAGTATATATTGTATGCTTATAATCATGCCTTCTTTCAGTGTGCCTTTCCTACATGGGAGTGGATGATAGATATGTAATTAAGAACAGCCAGATGACCTCCTCCTCCTTCAGTGGAACCAACACGCCAGACCAAGGTCGTCTCTATGGCGACTTCTCTTGGCAACCAAGGTAAGTCTAGAAAGGTTAACTGTTATGTAATGTCATTTTAACATAGGAGAATTGCATTCATAGTCCTGCTCTCATCCTTAAAGTCTGTTTGGTAAAGTTACTGAAATCCTTTATTGCAGATCAAATGACACTTCACCATGGATCCAGGTTGACCTTGGAAAATTGTCCTTGATATCTGGGGTCGAAACCCAGGGAGACACGATCAACAGAAAGTTTGTCAAGACCTACACAGTGTACACCAGCATTGATGGAAAGTCCTTTACCCCCTACTCTGACATCCCCGGGGCAGGAATTCCCAAAGTGTTCTCTGGAAACAAGGATGGCGATACCCCCATGAGGAGCTTATTCAACAGAAATATCACTGCTCAGTACATCAGAATTTACCCACAATCCACCTCTGCAGCTGGAGCAGCGATGAGGCTGAATATCCTGGGATGTAACCCAACGGCACCTATAAAACCCACTCCCACCGGAACAGCTACACCTAGTGTGTATTCATAAATTTTACTGTTTGTTAGTACACTGTAGATTCCTTATTTTTCACAAGTACTTCTTATCGCAAAATGGCTCTTTCACGTCAAATCGAGAGAACAATAAATCACAAGTGGACTATTGGTCAAGCAATTACACAAAAATGAAATGGATTTTTACACTATCTCTATAATAGAGAAGATAAATAGCAATTCTCGTGATCAAGAGATTTTTACACCATAAAATAAAAACAAGTAATTTTCTTTCATGAGTAGTGCACAAAATTACGTGATAATTAATTCCACACATATATTTTGGAATATACAGTTATTGGATTTAATATGTTGTAATTTAACCCTACCATATATCCTGTAACACTAGAATATTTACAAGAAATCTATTTTTGACATTGACCTAAAAAAAATACATGTATATATATAATAATAAAATTATTATAAATAAAATGTAAAATATTGCATTTTAATGTTTTAGCTTGTGATGTCAAGATGGGATTGTCCAATGGCCTCATAGTCTCTAATGCCCAGTTCAAAGCTTCCAGCGTGCTGGACGGTTTCCATGGACCAGAGCGGGCCAGGTTATTTGGACACAGGGATGGAAGCTTTACAGGAGGCTGGACTCCAAGGTCAGATTTTAAACAGAGTCTTAACGTATTCAAATTTTACCACATTATTGTAAACCAAATTTTATTTCTAAAGTTGCTTTAATATATTGTTGATCTGTTGTTAAAAGACACTGAGACTTAAAGGACCAATTCACGGTGAGAAATATTCGTAATGACGAGGCTCTTGCGAACCTCATGAAAATGTCTACCAAGAAAAATGTAAATTTTCACAGATATCACTACTCAATAATTCTTCATCCATGAAATTAAATCCCAACAAAACCATATTTTTTCCTCAAAGCACAAAAATTTAACCATTTGAAAATATTTGATTTTACAGTATGTGTTTAGCATTGACTTTGATTTAACTGTTCTCCATATAAAAATATAATCAACTTTCATGTAGGATAAGTAGTATAATGTTTATATTTTTTTGCCTTTAAAAAAAAAATCTTATCTAAGATGCTGTTATCAGGTAAATGTTCATGTAGAATTGATCCAAGTCGATGTCTTTTCTTTTATAGTGTGAACAATAATCGCCAATGGATTCAAGTTGACCTACTTTCCACAGAAGAGGTTTATGGTGTGATAACCCAGGGTCGTTCTGATCTCCCCTACTGGGTAACGGAGTACCAGGTGTACTACAGCACAGACGGAAGGTCATTCCAACCGGTAACCTCGAGCCCAGCGGTCAAAACACCCCAGACCTTCAATGGAAATATGGACAACCACAATCCAGTAACCAATGTCTTCAACCAGAAAATTGTGGCACGATTCATCAGGTTAGTTTTGAAACCAAGCCCTGAAAAAAAGAGTAGACAAATGAGAGGGAGGAATTTTTGTTTCCTCAATTGAATTCATGTACAAAAGTAATGCAGTTAGATTCATAAATGATTTTTGTATCTGAAGAATAATAAATTTGAATGTAAAGATTTGAGGAAGATTGATAAACATTGAATAGATGTATATCAAGTCTTTTGAACTGGATTCAAACAAGCTATGATTTTTTTTTTTTTGATTAAATTTTCCATTTTAAATGAACACAAGAGCTTTATTTTTTTTTCGTCTTTACCTTTAGAATTGTTCCCCTGAAGTGGAGGGAGGCGATTGGTCTGAGATTTGAGTTGGTGGGCTGTAAGCAGCTCACCCCCTCACCCCTGGTCACCGCCCCTCCGTCCTCTCCCACAACCGCTGGTCCCGGCCCCCTCACCTGTATGTACTGGACCCCCTGGGTCAACACCAACACCCCCGACGCCACCGGTGATTACGAGACCATCACGCACCTGAACTCGCTGGTACGATCCTGTAACCAGACGGACATGAAGGCCATCGAGTGCCGTGCGGTGGGAACCAAGAAGTCGTGGGATGAGGCGGGTGACGTGGATGTTAAGTGTGATCTCGTTACCCAGGGTCTTCTGTGTTTTAACAAAGTGCAGAGGAACACGCAGTGTCAGGATTACGAGATCAGGGTCTTCTGTGATGAATGTCCAAGTAAGAAAAGGGATAAGTTTTAATTAATTAATTAATTACAGTAAAAATATGGACAGTTTTAATAAATTTATTGCAATTGAACTTTGTATCATGAACACTAATGTTTCGATTATCATGAATATGTCAAAGTGATTTTGAAGTCCCACCCACTTATTTTAGTATTTTACATGGATATCTCAAATCCTCTCAGATCTAGAGTATTTTTATCAGTCCAATTGAGTTTGAGATAATAAAGTTTGACTGTATTGTTATTGGAAGTTCAGTGTTAATACTTGTATTCACTTTTGTAACTTTTTCGTTAAAATATATTAAAACCAACTTCTCAAAAGACCTAGCATAAAGAGTAATTGACCTACTTTTTAAAGGTAAATGCAAAAAATATTTATTAATTAAAAATCATCTAATATACTCAGCATGGATAGACTCTTCACATATTTTTACTTTAAATTATTCCAAAGTAAAGAAAAAAACATTCTCTTTAGCCACTTCAGGTGTGTCACAGCCAGTGACCACTCCCCGTGCCGGCGTGTCCACTCAATCAACCGTGACCCCTAAACCAACAACCAAAGAACCATGTCAGAACAAGACTTTCTGGTCGTCCTGGATCAACAAGCAGAGCCCGGGCAATGGAGGGGAGATTGAAAAAATGACCGCCACTGAAAAGAAGAATTTCTGTCCAAATGGCGTCATTAATGGAGTTGACTGTGAGACGGTGGACGGTCAGCCGTGGTTCGACACCAATCAGATTCTTACTTGTGACGTCAGAGATGGACTGAACTGTGATAATAGCATTAACTTCGGTGACATGTGTAAGGATTACAGGATCCGTTACCAGTGCCAAGTGATTTGTAATGGTAGGTCTCGTATTTATTAAAAGAAAATATAAACTTTTTGAAGTAAAGCCACAGAATGGTATTAAATAAGATTTTAGCAAAAGAATCTTTTACAAATGTAAATTTAAAAATGGAAATAAATAACCCCTACCCCCACCTCACCCCTCTTTCCCCTTATAATTTACTTGAAATCCTATCCTGGAAATAAAAAAAATTGTGCATCAAGTAACATAATGAATTATATTAAATGTTTGAACTTCAGAAACCACTACAACTACTAGCACCACTTCCAGCACCACCTCTACAACCACCAGTACCCCCACCACCAGCCCCACCCAGTCTACCAGCACCGTACCCACCACCACCGAGTGTGTGGAGAAAGACAAGGTGTCCCCCTGGATCAACAGAGACAAGCCTTATATTGGAGATGGAGACAAAGAGGCCATGACTGGAGCAGAGCTGGCTAGGTATGTAGGCCAATGAATAGGGCAAATCTTGTCAGCTAAGTAGGGCAATAATTAGCTCAAAGCTGGTCAGCTAAGTAAGTCAATAAATAGGGCTAAGTTGGCCAGCTAAGTAAAGCACTGAATAGGGCACAGCTGGTCAGCTAAGTAGGACATTGAATTCGGCACAGCTGGTGAGCTAAATGGGGCATTGAATTATGTACAGCTGGCCAGCTAAGTAGGACAATGAAAGGGGCATAGCTGGTCAGCTAAGTAATGCATTGAAAGGGGCACAGATTGCCAGCTAAGTAAGGCTTTGAATAGGGTAAAGCTAAGTAGGGCAATGCATTTCTGATAAGGCCATATAAAATTGAAATCTTGGTTCTCAGGCCCGCGCGCATCCGTTTTGAGGTAACCGCATTGCCGATTTTATTGTATTTTTGATAAAATAAAAAGTTGGTATTGCGGAGACCAATCCGGGAAAAAAATTCCGACCTCATTTGTTTCGTAGTTTAGTATTCAAATATCACTTCTGGTAGCCATTTACAATGAGATTTTGGCTACTTCGTTTGAAAATACATTCGAGGACATTACCTCGATGTTTACACGCTGTTAAGCAATGGATGAAGCAGAAAATTTGAAAGAATTGGAAAGTAAATCTGTGATTAAAAAAATTATCTTTCTGTTTTCGGAAATTAAAATTAAAAAAAATACCTCCCTCATCTACTTTGTTGCCAGTAAAATGAAAAATAAAATGCCGCCCTCCCGCATCTGTTAAGGAGAAAATTGGCCTGAGAACCAGGGAATTAAATTTAGATAGCCTAATGTAAAAGGGGATATGTAGCAACATCTTAACATTTTTGAATTGTTATTTTTGATAACTTTTGGCTGAAAAAAGTAGGTCATAAATTAATATAAAGTCCAAATAGGAATTTTTTGGCATTTGTGAAGTAGTAAAAAAGAAAAGATATCTACAGTACATTTAGTATATTTCATATTTCAAATACACTTCTTAGAACTTGTATGAAATTGATAATCTTTTTTTAACTGGATCATAAGTGTTTATATCAGATCAATATACATGTAATTTTAAAATTTTTACAAATTTTTGTCAGTAAATCACAGTGCAACATTCGCTTAAAGAAACAAATATAACAATTGTTCATTTTAAACTAAGGCTATGTTCTGTAGGTAGCTACCTTATATTGTAGTTTATTATGATAGTTGTTCATTGTTAACTAAGATCCTGTCCTGTGGAGACTGGCAGTTACATTATTATATCTAGTAGTAATTATCATGATTATTGTTTATTTTAGGTTCTGTTCGGCGGAGACTGGCGGCTACATTAAGAAGGTGGAGTGTGTGGCCGTGGATGGTATGATTCCTAGCTACAGTACTGGAGACAAGATGATATGTGACAAGGACCTCGGCTCTGTCTGTCTGAACAGTGATAACTTCCCCGTACAGTGTCAGGACTACATGATCAGATACACCTGTCATCAACCATGCTTACGTAGGCATCTTTTCTAAACTTTACAAATAAAGGTTGTGTGGTTTACGGGATTCAGTCTGATTATCATGTGGCACTAGTATTTTTACGGCACAGTAAAGTAAAGCATTGAAAAAAAAAAATAATATTAACAAAATATTGTTATGTTTGTTTTAACTTACTGCAAACAGGGTTACTTTTGCCATTTGACACTTGCAGACAATTTTGCCCCTGATAATTTCACTGCGCACAGTATTATAAAAAAGGATTTGAAAATTCATTTCAAAAATGTAATTACACAATATTTATACATATTAAATTCCTTTTATTTCAGCAACTAAACCGGCATACCATGGTATGTATGTACCAGTTACGGACCAGTTAGGAAATCCAATCCTGGTTCCCAGGACTGATGCGTACCACCATCCATATACAGATGAGCATGGAAATACTCAGATGATCCCCATAGGATACATTCACGTAACCCCAACACCGGCACCCATCACTGATGAACAAGGAAACCCCATCCTTGTCCCGAAAACTGACTCCTATGGTAAACCCATGACTGATGAACATGGTAATACCATCATGGTGCCACTTCCAGCCACTCAAGGACAGCCAACACCAGCCCCACAAACAGACGAGCATGGAAATCCAATTTTGGTACCTAAGACCGACTCCTATGGCAAACCAATGACAGATGAGCATGGTAATACCATTATGGTGCCATTACCTGCCACCCAAGGTTTGCCTACACCCAGTCCTCAAACAGACAAGTATGGAAATCCAATCTTAGTGCCAAAGACTGATGAGTATGGTAAGCCATACACTGATGCCCAAGGACACACAGTGATGGTACCTTTACCACAAACCCAGGAAAAACCAACACCAGTGCCAGTGACTGACAAATTTGGGAAACCTGTGCTGGTGCCAAGGACTGATGAATATGGTAGACCTTATACAAATGTATATGGTGAAACTGAAATGGTACCAATACCATTTAATCAAAACACTCCCACTCCAGCTCCTCAAACGGATGAACATGGAAATCCAATATTGGTGCCCAAGACTGACAGTTATGGAAAACCAATGACAGATGAGCAAGGCCACACCATTATGGTTCCACTGCCTGAGTATCAGGGAACCCCAACTCCAGCCCCTCAGACTGATGAACATGGAAACCCAATCTTGGTTCCAAAGACAGACTCCTATGGAAAACCAATGACAGATGAAAATGGAAAAACCATTATGGTACCACTACCAGCCACTCATGGTCTGCCAACTCCAGCACCAGAAACTGACAAGTTTGGTAATCCAGTACTGGTTCCAAGAACTGATGAATATGGTAGACCCTACACAGATAAGCTTGGTAACACAGAAATGGTACCTGTTCCAGCCACACATGGTCAGCCTACTCCATCTCCCCAAACTGATGCTCAAGGAAACCCAATACTGGTGCCTAGAACTGATGAATATGGTAAACCATATACTGATGAGCATGGAAACACCCAAATGGTGCCACTTCCTTATGTGCAAGGCACACCGACACCTGCACCAGAGACAGACAAATTTGGAAAACCTATATTGGTACCAAAAACCGATGAATATGGAAAACCATATACTGATGAGCATGGTAACACAGTGATGGTGCCAGTACCATATACACAGAGCTCCCCAACACCAGCACCTGCCACAGATGAACATGGTAATCCAATCTTGGTTCCCAAGACAGATTCATATGGTAAACCAATGACAGATGAGCAGGGTCACACCATTATGGTGCCATTGCCCTCTGAGCAGTATGTCCCCACTGTAGCACCACAAACTGATGAATTTGGTAATCCAATCATGGTGCCTAAGACTGATTCGTATGGCAAACCAATGACAGATGCTCAGGGACATACCATAATGGTACCTCTACCAGGAAAACAACAGAGCCCAACACCAGCCCCTCAGACAGATGCACATGGTAACCCAATACTTGTGCCTAAGACAGATGAATATGGTAAACCATACACAGATGAACATGGTAACACAGTAATGGTACCAGTACCAGCCACACATGGTCAGCCTACTCCATCACCACAAACAGACAAATTTGGAAAACCCATATTGGTGCCTAAGACAGATGAATATGGAAAACCATACACTGATGAACATGGAAATACAGTGATGGTGCCTTTGCCTTATTCACAGAGTTCTCCAACGCCAGCACCTGCCACAGATGAACATGGTAATCCAATCTTGGTTCCCAAGACAGATTCATATGGTAAACCAATGACAGATGAGCAGGGTCACACCATCATGGTACCATTGCCTTCTGATCAGTATGTCCCCACTGTAGCACCACAAACTGATGAATTTGGTAATCCAATTATGGTGCCTAAGACTGATTCCTATGGCAAGCCAATGACAGATGCCCAGGGACATACCATAATGGTACCACTGCCAGGAACACAGCAGACTCCTGCCCCTGTGCCACAGACAGACAAACAGGGAAAACCAATTCTGGTGCCCAAGACCGATGAATATGGTAGACCTTACACAGATGAACACGGCAGTACTGTGATGGTCCCTGTACCATACACACAAGGCAAACCAACACCATCACCACAGACAGATGAGTTTGGAAGACCAATTTTGATACCTAAGACTGATGAATATGGCAAGATCTTTACCGATGCGTTTGGACAGACAGTGATGGTACCACTGCCTGAAGGACAAAGTAGGCCCACCCCTGCCCCAGTAACTGATAAACAAGGCCGACCCATCTTGGTACCAAAGACTGACTCCTATGGGAAACCAATGACAGATGAACATGGCAATACAATTATGGTTCCCCAGCCATATACACAAGGTCTGCCAACACCTTCCCCACAAACAGATGAGCATGGAAATCCCATCATGGTGCCAAAGACTGATTCCTATGGAAAACCAATGACAGATGCCAAAGGTAATACCATCATGGTGCCTCTCCCAGCCACTCAAGGTCTCCCAACTCCAGCACCACAAACCGACGAGCATGGAAATCCAATCTTTGTTCCAAAGACCGACTCCTATGGTAAACCAATGACAGATGAGCATGGTAATACCATTATGGTGCCATTACCTGCCACCCAAGGTTTGCCTACACCTAGTCCTCAAACAGATAGATTTGGAAATCCCATCATTGTGCCCAAGACAGACTCTTATGGGAAACCCATGACTGATAAATCTGGAAACACCATTTTAGTTCCATTACCTGTACATCAGAGCACCCCCATACCAATTCCAGAAACAGATAGATTTGGTAACCCAGTGCTTGTGCCAAAGACAGATTCCTATGGAAAACCAATGACTGATGCTCAAGGACACACAATATTGGTTCCTAAGCCAGCCACTCAAGGAAACCCCACACCTTCACCACAAACAGATGAATTTGGCAATCCTATCTTAGTTCCAAAAACTGATTCCTATGGTAAACCTATGACTGATGAACATGGTCAAACTATCATGGTGCCACTGCCTGGCCAGCATAGTACTCCTATAGTTATTCCACAGACAGATAAGTTTGGAAATCCAATTTTGGTTCCAAGAACAGATGAGTATGGAAGACCATTCACAGATGAATTTGGAAACACTCAAATGGTTCCTCTTCCTGAAAAACAAGGCAATCCAACTCCAAAGCCTCAGACTGATGCATTTGGAAACCCCATTCTGGTGCCAAGAACTGATGAATATGGCAAACCATACACAGATGCATTGGGACATACCCAGATGGTGCCATTATATGAAACCCAGAGTGTACCCACACCCAAACCACAGACAGATGCATTTGGTAACCCTATACTGGTACCACGTACAGATGAATATGGAAAACCATACACAGACAAATTTGGAAAGACCCAGATGGTGCCACTTCCTGAAACACAAGGAATCCCTACTCCAAAACCACAGACAGATGCCTTTGGAAACCCAATCCTTGTACCTAGAACTGATGAATATGGAAGACCGTACACTGATGAATTTGGAAACACACAGATGGTGCCACTGCCAGAAAAACAAGGACAGCCTACTCCTGCTCCCAAGACAGATAAATATGGCAATCCAGTTCTTATGCCAAGGACAGATGAATACGGCAAACCTTATACAGACAAGTTTGGACATACACAATGGGTTCCTGTGCCAGCCGGACAAGACAAACCAACTCCTATACCAGAAACAGATGCATTTGGAAACCCAATACTTGTTCCCAAGACTGATGAATATGGCAAGCCATACACAGATGCTCAAGGAAATACAGTGATGGTGCCAAAACCATATCACCAGGGTTCACCAACACCTGCTCCACAGACTGATGCCTTTGGAAATCCCATCCTTGTGCCTAAGACAGATTCTTATGGAAAACCAATGACAGATGCCAATGGTAATACCATCATGGTGCCACTGCCAGCAACACAGGGACTGCCAACACCCAAACCACAAACTGATGAACATGGAAATCCAATATTAGTTCCAAAGACTGATTCATATGGTAAACCTATGACTGATGCAAATGGTCATACAATCATGGTTCCTCTGCCTGAGACAGAAGGAGTGCCTACTCCTGTGCCACAGACAGACAAGTTTGGAAACCCTGTCCTTGTACCAAAGACAGATGAATATGGCAAGCCATTCACTGATGAACATGGAAATACTGTAATGGTGCCTGCTCCTTATCACCATGAAAAGCCAACACCAGTACCAGAAACAGATGAGTTTGGAAATCCCATCCTTGTGCCAAGAACAGATGAATATGGCAGACCATACACAGACAAGAATGGTCAGACAGAGATGATACCTAAGCCCCACTACCAGGGACAACCAACTCCTGAACCACTTACTGATGCTCAGGGAAAACCAATCCTTGTTCCAAAGACTGACTCCTATGGCAAACCAATGACTGATATACATGGAAGCACTATATTGGTAACTGTCCCAGCCCCTGTGAGACAGCATACACCAGTACCAGTGCCAGAGACAGACCGATTTGGAAATCCTGTCCTTGTTCCAAAGACTGACTCCTATGGCAAACCAATGACAGATGAGCAAGGCCACACCATACTTGTCCCAAAACCATACAGTCAGACGCAACCAACCCCTGCACCTGAAACAGATGAATTTGGACAACCGATCTTGGTTCCAAAGACAGACTCCTATGGTCATCCCATGACAGATGAGAATGGTCATACTATCATGGTGCCCAAACCAGCAACACAGGGTCTTCCCACCCCTGCACCTAAAACAGACAAATTTGGTAATCCAGTTTTAGTGCCCAAGACAGATGAATATGGCCATCCTTTTACAGACGAGCATGGTAACACAGTCATGGTTCCAGTTCCTGATGTACATGGATCTCCCACCCCGGCACCAATGACAGATAAATTTGGAAATCCAGTGATGGTTCCAAAGACTGATTCTTATGGTAAACCTATGACAGATGAACAAGGTCATACCATCATGGTCCCAGTGCCAGAGACTCATCAATCTCCAACTCCAAAACGAGCCACAGATTTAACTGCTGGACCTGTTGTCTTAGTGCCAAAGACTGACTCCTACAATAAACCCATGACTGATGCCCAGGGAAGTACCATTTTGGTGCCAGTGCCTCAGACAGCAGGAGTTCCAACCCTGGCTCCACAAACTGATGAACATGGTAATCCAATCATGGTACCAAAGACTGATTCCTATGGCAAGCCAATGACAGATGCCCAGGGACATACCATAATGGTACCTCTGCCAATGCAACAAGAGAAACCAACACCATCCCCACAAACTGATAAGTTTGGCAATCCCATTCTTGTTCCAAAAACAGATGAATATGGACATCCATACACAGATGAACATGGCAACACAGTCATGGTACCACTGCCAGCTACCCAAAACAGGCCTACTCCTTCACCAATGACTGATCAGTTTGGTAATCCAATATTAGTACCCAGAACCGACGAGTATGGAAGACCATATACAGATAAATTTGGAAGAACTGAAATGGTGCCTCTGCCAGGCTATCAGGGAACTCCAACTCCTGCTCCACAAACAGATCAATTTGGAAAACCCATCATGGTTCCCAGGACTGATGAATATGGAAGACCTTACACAGATGAACATGGACATACCCAGATGGTGCCACTACCAGCAACTCAGTCTACCCCTACACTGAAACCAGAGACAGACATTTTTGGTCACCCAGTTTTGAAGAAATGCTCACAGAGTCACTGGTCACCCTATCTTAACCGAGACAAACCTGACCTGGGCACGGGTGACTTTGAAAAAATGACCCCAGAAGAGCTCAGCAGTTTCTGCAAGGGTGGAAATGTCACCAAGATTGAGTGTATGACGTCGGATGGAATTCCCAGCTATAGCTCTGGTGAAGTTATGACCTGTAATCTTCAGAAGGGCTTCTCCTGTGTTAATGCCGACAACTTCCCAGTAACATGCTCAGATTACAAAATCAGATACTACTGTCAATGTGAGGAGGGTGAGCTACATTATCTGAATTATTATTCTAAGGTTTTATATTTTTTTTAAAAATTGAAATTTAAGAAAGAATGAAGTTAGTATATATTTTCAAATAGAAATCGTGACTATTTTGAACATTTTAATCAGTCTCGTGTTTTTAATACCTTTTTCCCAAATTTACCCCAGGTTCTGTTCCACCTGATTCCACCCCCACCATCACCCCGTCCTTCAAACAATGCGGCTGGTCATCCTGGCTGAACTCCAACAGTCCCTCGGCCTCTCTGAACTCGGGAGACTTTGAATCCATTTACGACCTCAAGTCCAAATACGGACTCTGCAAGGAGATCAGGCAGATAGAGTGTCGCGTGGCTGGCAGTAAGACCCCGGTAGCCATTGCAGGGCAGGAAAGTGTGACTTGTGATGCCAGGAATGGGCTCCGTTGTTACAACCGAGACCAACTCTCTGGCCGATGTTACGACTACGAAGTCCGAGTCTTATGCTGGGCTGACAATTGTAAGTGCAGGCACTTTCTTGCCTTAACATTTTAAAAATTAGAAATTCTCAATTTGAATAAAAATTTTAATTGGTTTTAAAAAAATTATTAATAAAAATATATTTCACAAAGCAAATTCAAAGTATAATATAAACAAGTTCTCTTAAATTTTTTTGGTAATCATTATCTTAGCAGGAATCTGCTTAACCTTTGACTTTTGTTTCTTAAGTGATTAACCTTTGACTTTTGTTTCCTTAGTGATTAACCTTTGACCTTTGTTTCCTAGGTAATCCTGACCTTCTGACTACCGCAACAGCTGCAGTTGTACATCAAACTACTCGTAAGTTCTCCAGTTTGAAAAATCACAATGTTATTGTAAAAGTGCAACAAATAGGCAGCTCAGAATAATCATTACAGATATTTTTTAATCCAAAGAAAAATGTTAAAAATCTCTGATTAAAGAACTCGAATATAAGCACAATGTTGCTTCATACATCTAAAAAAAATTTTTTGTATGTGAGCAGAAATACATTTACAGAGTTCTGTAATTTTTATACTTTTTTCTGTATACCGGGTACATATCAAGATTTACTGCTCAATCCTCTTTTTCCTTGTTTAGCCCTGTGTGCCCCCGGCGAGGTTTACGAGACCTGTCCCTACCGCTGCAGTGACCTGTGTGATGTCCTGTCCCGGCAGTCCGTGGCCTGCGGGGGTCAAGCGACTGACTCCTGTGTGCCCTACTGTAGACCCGCTGGTCTGACCTGTGGACCCGGCCAGAAACTGAAGGACAAGAACACCTGTGTCCCAGAGACCCAGTGTCCTTGTAGAATGCAGAATGGAACCATCGCCAGTGTAAGTTACTCACAGAAGTCTCTGATTATTTTGTATATTTTACCTTGATTCCAATGTATAAAGGAATAAGGAAGAAGTAATAAAGGGTGCTAATGGTTTTTGTGCAAACATCTTAGTAGGAAAGCTTTTTGTATTGAATGCTTCCAATATATTGGTTTTGAGAAAACTTATCTTGTTGAAAATTATATGTTTGAGACTGAATATATATAATTCTTCACATCTTTGTAGGAAAGCCTTTTAGTATTAAATGCTTATATTTTACCAATTTGAAAGAAAAAAAACTTAGGTTGTAAAGAAGTATTTGAGGTTGATGTAATGTTTTTCTTCTTCACTTGTTGCAGCCTATGGAGACTTGGACTAATCCTTATGATGAATGCTCCACCTGTCATTGCTTTAACAACACAGTCACTTGTTCACATGATGAAAGCTGGAGAGACTAATCCTTATGATGAATGCTCCACCAGGTAAATCTTTAACAACACATCTGTACACATGATAAAGGCTGTGTCACCATTCCCTGTCCCACATCGGCTATAAAGGAGCAATACCACATACCCTGTGTACACATGATTTAGATTGTGTCACTATTCGCAGCCCCAATCCCAGTCTTAACCATGTTCTCTTAGAAAGTCCAGGTTAATTAAAAACTTGATATGTTGACTCAACTGTACACATAATTAAAGCTGTTTCACCGCTCCTATAGTCTAACACTATTAGGTAAAATGTTGACTCACCTGAATACCATTTAGATTGTTTTACATTTTCCTGAATACATAACATGCATAGTAAAACCATGTAAAATCTCAGCCTAACCTAAACAGATTATTAAACATCCCTTGCCCCATACCAGGTAGATATAAATCAAGGTAAGAAAACTTACTTAATAAAAGTTACCTTAAAATCTGTAATGCAAATGTCCTTCATATATGCACCCAGTATGTGCAAAATCTAACACAAAAAACAGTATATTAAAAATGTAACAAAATCCACCCCTCAGTGACATACAATGTATATATATTCTTCTGTAATCATTTCAGCCAACCCAGTGAAACATCCTGACTGTGAATGGACCTACTGGATCAATATGGACACACCTTTGAGTGGGGATGGGGATCTAGAAACCATTTCAAAGATTCGCACCCTTCACCAGTTCTGCGCCTCTCCTGTTCAGATTGAGTGTCGAGATGCCGAGACAAAAGTTGCCAGCATGCAGGCAGGCCAAAGAACTACATGTGATATCAACTCAGGATTCAAGTGTCTGAACTGGGAGAATAATGGTCAATGTCGCGATTACGAAGTCAGGTTCTACTGCCCTTGTGCAAGTAAGTGGGAAAAAAGCCCTAACATTTTAAAATACAGTTGGATTATCGACTTGTAAGAATTTTTTCAATGTTAAGCATGTGGATATTTATAAGTAGAGGATTTGAAAAGAGATGAAAATGTTATTGTATAAAGTAACAAGTGATTTAGTAATATTTAGTCCAGATCCATGAAAACTCATCTGAAAACGAACTGATTTATCTCTGACATTAAAGTTAAAATGACAAAAACTATACACAATTTCACAAATTATGACTTCAAAATGAAATATTGCTGAGTGTCACATCTATTTTTAAAATAGAGAGTGTACACATGTGAAAGAGTGATAGGAATACTTTTAAATATTTATCAAAAGTAGTAATTGCGATGAGGTTTAAAAAAACTGGAAATGCAGTGGTATTAATACAACTGTAACTTAGCTGGCATTTTACTGTTTTACATACTATAACATTGGCAAAGAAAATCTAGAAAAAAATAATTCATGTAATTTCTAATCATTGAACAGGGACTTTTGAGATCTGCATTAATTGAATTAAAGGCATAAACGTGCATCCTTTGATTCAGGTACTCAAAGCCCCAGAATGACTACCACTCCACCTTCAGCAAGGGCCAACATTTGTGGCTGGTCTGACTGGATAAACATGGATAATCCATCTGTCATGAAACCCGAAAAGCCATTTTCAGGGGACATCGAATCCATGGCAGCCATCCGAGAGAAGACGTGCGGGTATGACATCATGACCAAGATTGAATGTCGCACTGCTGAGGGACACATTCCCTCTGACAGAACCAACGAGACCCTGTCCTGTGATAGAATCCGTGGTCTGAGGTGTAAGAATTCTCTACAGTCAGATAAGAAGTGTATGGACTACGAGACAAGGGTGTACTGTGATTGTAGCAATGTCACCACCCCTGGCCCCACCCGTCCAGGTGGCCACTTTGAAGGCAGCACCACCAAGACCGTGGATGTTTGTGGTTGGACGGTCTGGATGAATGGCCATGCTCCAGATAACAATGGGGAGGTAGAATTATTGTCAGAGCTGGAGAAGGAATGGCAATTCTGCCACACGGATGAGATCACGGCCATCGAGTGTCGTGACAGCATCACTGGCTTGTCCGTCATGGAGGCGGGGCAGAGTGGAGTGATTTGTGACGTGAATCATGGTGGACTGAAATGTGACGCCACCAAGCAGACGGCTCACGGTGGACAGTGCTATGATTATGAAATAAGGGTGTTGTGCGAACCTAAAGGTGTGAACTGTGGTCCGTCGACAGAACCTGCTGCTACACCAAAGTTTGAGCCACTTACAGACTCTTACCATAAACCAGTAACGGACAAGGATGGTCACACAATTATGGTCCCTGTCACCGGGACTCAGGGCACCCCAACAGCTGTCCCTATCACTGACAAGTTTGGAAACCCACTCCTGGTACCAAAGACAGATGTATACGGTAAACCTGTAACCGACAAGAATGGAAACACTGTAATGGTCACTGTTCTGGAACCGATCAAAGGAACACAGGGAGTACCCACTGCTGTTCCTAAAACAGACAAGTTTGGCAATCCAGTATTGGTACCTAAGACTGATACCTATGGCAAACCAATGACAGATGTCAATGGTCATACTGAGATGGTCACAGTGCTTGTTCCCAATCCAAATGGTCAGAGCACTCCTATGTTGGTGCCAAAGACTGATGAATTTGGAAATCCATTGTTGGTACCCAAAACTGATACTTACGGCAAACCTGTGACTGATATCAATGGACATACAGAAATGGTCACTGTTCTTGTTCCAAACCCAGATGGTCAAAGTACTCCAATGCTTGTGCCAAAGACTGATAGATTTGGAAACCCTATCCTAGTACCCAAAACTGATACTTATGGCAAACCAGTGACTGATATCAATGGACATACAGAAATGGTCACTGTTCTTGTTCCAAACCCAGATGGTCAAAGTACTCCCATGCTTGTGCCAAAGACTGATAGATTTGGAAACCCTATTCTTGTACCCAAAACTGATACTTATGGCAAACCAGTGACTGATATCAATGGACATACAGAAATGGTCACGGTGCTTGTTCCAAACCCAGATGGTCAAAGTACTCCAATGCTTGTGCCAAAGACTGATAGATTTGGTAACCCTATTCTTGTACCCAAAACTGATACTTACGGCAAACCTGTGACTGATATTAATGGACATACAGAAATGGTCACTGTTCTTGTTCCAAACCCAGATGGTCAAAGTACTCCCATGCTTGTGCCAAAGACTGATAGATTTGGAAACCCTATACTTGTACCCAAAACTGATACTTATGGCAAACCAGTGACTGACATCAATGGACATACAGAAATGGTCACTGTTCTTGTTCCAAATCCAGAGGGCCAGAGTACTCCAATGCTTGTGCCAAAGACCGATGAATTTGGAAACCCATTGTTGGTACCCAAAACTGACACCTATGGTCAACCATTGACAGATAAATTTGGACACACAGAGATGGTTACAGTGCTAGTACCAGCACCCGGTAATCAGTCCAAACCAACAGCAGTGCCCAAGACAGACAAGTTTGGAAACCCAGTGCTTGAACCCAAGACTGATGCTTTTGGTAAACCGGTAACAGATGCCAGTGGAAACACAGTGATGGTAACAGTGCTGGAGCCAGTTACTGAACCACAAGGCACTCCCACTGCTAGGCCCAAGACTGATGAATTTGGAAATCCATTGCTGGTACCAAAAACTGATGCCTTTGGAAAACCAGTGACAGATGCCAGTGGACACACAGTGATGGTGACTGTGTTGGAGCCAATTCCACAAGGCACAAACACTCCAATGCTGGTTCCTAAGACAGATGAACAGGGAAATCCAATTTTGGAACCCAAAACAGATGCTTTTGGCAGACCAGTGACAGATGTTAATGGTCACACACAGATGGTAACAGTGATGGTTCCCGCACCAGGAAACCAGGCCAAACCAACCGCAGTACCAAAAACAGACAAGTTTGGAAACCCAGTGCTTGAGCCAAAGACTGATGCTTTTGGTAAACCAGTAACCGATGCCAGCGGTAATACAGTTATGGTGACAGTGTTGGAACCAGTCACTGAACCACAGGGTGTACCAACAGCAGAACCGAAAACTGACAAATTCGGTAACCCAGTACTTGTACCAAAAACAGATGCCTTTGGAAAACCAGTTACAGATGTCAATGGCAACACAGTGATGGTGACAGTTTTAGAACCTATTCCACATGGCCAGAGTACACCAATGCTTGTGCCAAAGACTGATGAACATGGAAACCCAATCCTTGTACCAAAGACAGACATCTATGGTCAACCAGTTACTGACCAAAACAAGAACACCATCATGGTTACAGTGCTGGAGCCTGTCACTGAACCACAAGGCACTCCCACTGCTAGACCCAAGACTGATGAATTTGGAAACCCATTGCTGGTACCAAAAACCGATGCCTTTGGAAAACCAGTGACAGATGCCAGTGGACACACAGTGATGGTGACAGTGTTGGAGCCAATTCCACAAGGCACAAACACTCCAATGCTAGTTCCCAAGACAGATGCACAGGGTAATCCAATTTTGGAACCCAAAACAGATGCTTTTGGCAAACCAGTGACAGATGTCAATGGACATACACAGATGGTAACAGTGATGGTTCCCGCACCAGGAAACCAGGCCAAACCAACCGCAGTACCAAAAACAGACAAGTTTGGAAACCCACTTTTGTTCCCTAAAACAGATAAATATGGACAGCCAGTGACAGATAGCCAAGGTAGCACCATACTAGTCACAGAAATGGAGACCTTACCCACCTCAACCGGACCCACCCCAACCACCACACCAGGACCAGTGGTTACCACTTGTGCCACGTACTGGTCCAACTGGTCCAATGTCAACCACCCCGGTGGCACATTCCCAGGGGACAAGGAGCTCACCCCCAAAGAATACACCGACAGGACAGGATTCTGTCGAGGCGGGTCTGTCACAAAGGTTGAGTGTTACAGCGTGGGAATGAATGCTCCATCGTACTCTAGTGGGGAGATCTTGACCTGTGATACCACTGTTGGTCTGCAGTGTAATGATGCAGATAACTTCCCCATGCCTTGCACGGACTACAAGATCAGATACTACTGTGACATCTGCAGTAAGTATTGATTTAAGAAACATGCTGTTTATATTCATAACATTCACAACCATATATGTTCCTCATGACTATTTTTATTCCAAATCCGCATGTCAGACCTACAATGGTTTCATCTTAACCTTTTGTCTCAAAACAAAGAGAATAGGGAGATCAAGGTCTCTCATTACTTGAATTTCTGAAATTTTGACTTACAAGTATATGGACAATGGATCAGTATTAATTATTATCTGATATTGGTCGAGATCTTTAAACTTTACAAGATGGAATGATGTGTCTATATTTTCTTTATCTCAGCTGCTGTGACGCCCGGCTCTAATGTGACCCCAGTGCCTTCCACCTCCATCAGTGTGGGAACAGGCACTCCCAAACCCACAGCACCACTGGGTAGGAAGAATCTTTACAACTTTCTTAAACAATTCTCCCAAAGTCACAATATAAATAACAACTATGACATTCTTTTTAATATTTCATGTCTGTAACTAAATTATTGTAAAAATGGACATAACTTGAAAGTAGGTGCATTGTGAAAAACCACGTAAAATATTTTTCTGTACACCATTCTATAGTTTGTGCTGATGGAAACTCCGCCCAACTCCCTATACATATGGATGACAGTCAGCTGTCGGCCTCCTCAAGTCTCCGCCCAGACTCCGGGCCCCAGAGATCACACATCGACAGCTCAAGCACCGCCCCCCAAACAGGAGGGTGGGTCCCAGCGACCAATGACAAGAACCAGTGGCTGATGATCAGTTTCACAAACCCCGAGATTGTCTACGCTGTGTCGACTCGCGGCCTGGACGGGCAGCAGAATTGGATGACAGCATACTATCTGATGTATTCCATGGATGGAACAAACTTTACTTTCTACCAAGAGGAAGGACAAAGAAAGGTAAGATTTAAAAAAAAACAAGAACTGATTTTCAGAGCAAAATATTAAACTTGTATTAATCAGACTTAACTTTCTACCAAGAGGAAGGACAAAGGCAGGTAAAAATTACAAGAACAGTTTTTTTAGATAATGGAGCAAACTGTTTTTTTTCTCTCAGTGTATTTAATCCTAGTGGGGCCTTGAGTAAAATCTTGACTCACTATTTCTTGTATTTCTAGGTCTTCTCGGGTAACTTTGACTCGGCAACCATCTCCACACACACAGTGAATCCGTTTGTGGCTAAATACGTCAGAATTGTTCCAGAGCGCTGGCAGGGTGGAATTGGCCTTCGCTGGCAGCTGATTGGTTGCAAAGGTAAGATTCTTGTCCAGTCAGACAGGGACTATGATTGTTATACAGTGGCTATGAATGATGATATTGAAGTACATGTTTGTACATGTATTATTATGTAACTATTTAACTGATCATTGAAAATATTGTAAATACTTAACAGGGTTATTTTTGCCATTTAACACTTTCAAACAATTTTGCCTTCCTCTTAATTTGCTCTGACAATGCTGTCATCTTTGGTATTTGGTACATTTTAAATTTGCCCACTAGCAGCGATGGAAAAGGGTGAAAATAAAATGGGGTTGAAAATTTCTCTGTAAACAGCATTTTTGATTCAGTGTTATCTGATGTTGTTTATATAGCAAGTTATTTTTAAATATTAAGTAGTCTGCTTAAGACTTTGTTTAGAAATATACAATAAATGAATAACTGTTCATTTTTAACACAGCATCACCAATGACAGTGGTAACTGGACAGGGATCAACCTCAACCCCCTCTGCCACCCCAACCCATGCCCCAGCCCCACAGTGTGTAGAGAAATGGTCAGCCTGGATCAATAATAACAGCCCACTAAAACAGGGCTCTCTAGGAGACTACGAGAAAATGAGTGCTGCAGACAAGGCCCAGTTCTGTCCTGGTGGTAACATCACTAAGGTTGAGTGCCACGCTGTGGATGGAGACATTCCAAGCTACAGTTCTGGGGAGATCTTGACCTGTTACCCAGACCAGGGTCTGATCTGTAACAATGCTGACAACTATCCACTGGCATGCTCCGATTACAAGGCTCGGTTCTTCTGTGGATGCCCAGGTGTGTATTACTAAGCTGTACTTTTACTCTTATTTTCTTTTTATTTCAAAAAAGGAATAAGATAAAAAGTCTGCCATTCAGTAAATTCAAAGGTTACTGAAAACTCACTGAATGGTAGAGTTCTGTCAATTCAGTCACCTTTCAGTGACCATTCAGTTAACTAAATATCAGAGTTTCATCTGGTTAGCATTTTTTAATTGACAAGTTTGATTTATATAGCTTACAAATAAATCTTCACTGTCGGATTTGGTTTCAGCTACACCTGCCCCCACTACATCTGGAACTGATGCCAATGCAAAATCAACCAGTGCCCTACCAACAAAACCAGGAGGCCATGACAGCCACACTACCACAACGCCACCCCCACCACCATGTGTGGGAGGCTGGTCATCTTGGATCAACCACAACAACCCAGCTAGTGGTAATGGAGACTATGAAAAGTTGACAGACGCTGAGAAACTCCAGCTCTGCTCCGGTGGTAACATCACAAAGGTGGAATGCTTCACTGGGGACATCCCAAGCTACAGTTCTGGAGAAGTGCTGGAGTGTTCACCAGATAGAGGTCTGATCTGTAACAATGCTGACAACTTCCCTGTGCCTTGTTCTGACTACAAAGCCAGATTCTTCTGTCAGTGTGCAGGTAATTTGTACAGTTTCATCTCATCATTTCTGTAGCTTTTCCTACAAAAAATACATATATAGTATCGATTTAAATTGGAGGGATTTGTGTGTAGAATTTGTAGATTAAGATTGGAAACATAACCTTTATGTTATATTTTAGTTTCCATACATCTTACTTCAAATCCTTACATTAAGTCCTGCAATCTTTACAGTAAATCTAAAAAAAAATTTGGGAACATACTCGGTGCTTATAGCACATTGTACCTACATAACCAATTTAAAAATAAAAGCTTTTTTGTTAATAGTAATTCCTACATATTTATTGTTTTCTATAGCACCTGTCACTGACACAAACAGTAAGACAACCAACATTGCCCCAACCAAAACAGATGGAGGACACAATGTCCAGACAACCACCTCTCCATCCCCACCCCGCATTCCTTGTGTGGGTGGCTGGTCATCTTGGATCAACCACAACAACCCAGCTAGTGGTAATGGAGACTACGAAAAGTTAACAGACGCCGAGAAACTCCAGCTCTGCTCTGGTGGTAACATCACAAAGGTGGAATGTTTCACTGGGGACATCCCAAGCTACAGTTCTGGAGAAGTGCTTGAGTGTTCTCCAGATAGAGGGTTGATCTGTAACAATGCTGACAACTTCCCTGTGCCTTGCTCTGACTACAAAGCCAGATTCTTCTGTCAATGTGCAGGTAATTTGCAACAAGCTTTTCTTCTCGATTTAAATTCTTTGTGTGTCATATAATTCTGGAAACATAACCTTTGTTATACTAGTTATAGATTTTTAATTTAAATCTTTACAGTAAATCTAAAAAAAAATTTGGGAACATACTCGGTGCTTATTGCACATTGTACCTACATAACCAATTTAAAAATTAATAGCCATTCTCTGTAACCACTTAAACTTCGTTGCCACGAATGGTCACCGATTTTGATGAAACTTCACCCATGTCTAGTACTTGACACCAGAAACAAATATCAAACAAAATTTCTTTGCTATGTGTCTCGGTTGCTATGGCAACAGTCAGAAAAGTTTGAAAAATCGAGATTTTCAGCCAGTTTAAATCTTGACTCTGGCTTAAAAAAAACTAGAAAAAGCAAACAAATCATTCTCATAAAAACATGACACCTTCATGTCACTTATACCGTAAAGAAACTGTTTAGAATATATCTCTAAGTAAGTGGTAACCAAGGGTACATTTGGAATACATATAAAATGCTGAAATATGCTGAAAAACAGTTTTCACTAATGGTAGGTGTTACATGCTCAAATAAAAATTAAGAAAAACAATGAAAATGTTTGACCTTAAGTATATAAGTATAAGCAATATTATTCTATAAATAACTTTTATGGTTGCCAGGGTAACACAGTGTAACCATGCAAAACCAGTAACTAAGATTAGGTTAATGCTAGTGTCTTGAGGAAAAACATGAAAATTCAAGACTGGCATATATGCATCCTTAGCACCTTGCAACACCAAAACCATAAGAAAAATTCGGTATAATTGCTACTTTGTAGTGTTACCATGGAAACAAAGTACCAGTGCTTAAAAGTGAATTATTTTTTGCTGCATTGAGAATTAAATTGCCATTTAATCAAGAAACAAATTAAAGGACTCAGCTTGAATAGTACTTATCTGTTAGAACTGAAGTTAAATATCGTATATTGATAAAATTTGATGAATAAAACAACACTGTTGCTATGGTTATCAGGAAGGGAAAATGTTCGATTTTGTGAACTTTATATCAATATTAAACCCTGTGTGCCAACTTCTTGCATCCACTTAGAGATTGGATGATAGTCAAAATTAAAAGTCAAGTTAGCTTTTAATAAATATCAATCATAAAAGTTTTGGGAATCTACATTAAAGGGTACGTATCCAAGGAAATAAAATATTTTTTCATGTTTTTAAGCATATATTTTCTACTTATTTCCATAGCAACGCTCTATTTAAAGAATCAAATCTGATTTTTTTCAAATGGGAAAACTTTGAGCAAACCAACATCTTATAAATTTGATCATTAGTTATGAGGAAATGTGCTTTTTTTAAAAGATAGGATACGATTTAAACATACATAGTGTTACTTTGAAGGCTCTCTGTGGTATAAAAACCTTGGCAACCATTGCCAACCAAAATGAAATATCATATTTTTTTCTTGGTATATGATTCAAGGCTCTTTTTTCTATTATTTGGTCATATTCCATCCTATAATTGCTTTTTATTTTTACGTGTATGACTTTATAAAACTCAATGGATATTTTTTTACTTTTGAATACTTTGTTACCATAGTAACGTATGTAATAGTTGATTTACCAAACATGTTTATCATGCAGACATCTGACCTTCAACTTTTGGAGACAGTCATTGCCAATTGTTTGCTTTGCCGCAAATGTTAACTATGGGGCTCTAAACATGTTAAAAAATGCCAATTTTCGAACTTTAAGACATGTTGCCATGGTAACTATAAAACATATCAACCAATTTTTGCCTGATTTCAGTTTAGGGTATCAATGACTTTTATCATAGAGAGTTTGGAGAAATTCTGAGACTATGCAAGCCACAGCTCCTATATAAAATTTTAAATCATTACAGAAAATGGCTCTTAAAGCTTTTCTTTGTTGTTAATATTAATTTCTATATATTTGTTTTCTATAGCACCTGTCACTGACACAAACAGCAAGACAACCAACATTGCCCCCACCAAACCAGATGGAGGACACAATGTTCAGACCACAACCTCTCCATCCCCACCCCACATTCCTTGTGTGGGTGGCTGGTCATCTTGGATCAACCACAACAACCCAGCTAGTGGTAATGGAGACTATGAAAAGTTGACAGACGCCGAGAAACTCCAGCTCTGCTCCGGTGGTAACATCACAAAGGTGGAATGTTTCACTGGGGACATCCCAAGCTACAGTTCTGGAGAAGTGCTGGAGTGTTCTCCAGATAGAGGTCTGATCTGTAACAATGCTGACAACTTCCCTGTGCCTTGTTCTGACTACAAAGCCAGATTCTTCTGTCAATGTGCAGGTAATTTGCAAAATTTTCTCTCATTTCTCTCTGTCATATCATTCTTTAATGACTAGTTATAGAATTATTTATTTTAATCTGATGTTTTTATGAATCAACTTTGATTTTAAAGATGGGAAATGTGCACTGGATTTATTCATGCATTTTTCCTCCTTTCATAAAAGTTTTAAAGAAGAAGGTATGGTTTCAATACAAATCTTGCCCTGTGATTTTCTTTAAAAATGAAACTGATGTAAAAAATGAAAACTCATGTATTTTGAATTATTGAAATGCCATGCATAAAAATTATACAAATCATTTTTCTCACATGTCTAAATGCTAATTGTGTCATAAACATGTGATTTTCTTAAAATGTTGCAGAAGACACCAATTTTCAATAGAACTTTCTTTCAGAAAACATTGTCCACAGACATAGCCCACAAAGATTTTAGATATGTGATTTTTCATTGTATTTTATACAACATAGCCAAAAATTAAAGTGGGCGACGGCTGTGGACACAATTTTCTAAAGGACAATTCCCCTTGATATGGATCAATTTAAAGCTTTTTCTGTTTGCAATAGACAAATGCACCAAATTAATGACAACATATTTTCAGAATGGTACTCCTTTATACCATATTCTTTCCTGATCTTTCAGTCATAAACTTACATTATCTAATATTCAGACCAGTTTCAGAACTTTTTGAAAACATTTAATTTTTAGGGCACAAGAAAGCTAAAACCATACCTTCTTTCTGCAGATGACCTCAAATTAATAAGATCAGTGCTAGCCTTGTAGAACATGGTACCAAGTATATCAAAGCAGAACACTTTCTGTTGAATAGGAGATTGCACTTCTTTTGTTTTTATAGCACCTGTCACTGGTGCCAATAGCAAGACAACCAACATTGCCCCCACCAAACCAGATGGAGGACACAATGTTCAGACGACCACCTCTCCAACCCCACCCCGCATTCCCTGTGTGGGCGGCTGGTCATCTTGGATCAACCACAACAACCCAGCTAGTGGTAATGGAGACTATGAAAAGTTGACAGACGCTGAGAAACTCCAGCTCTGCTCTGGTGGTAACATCACAAAGGTGGAATGTTTCACTGGGGACATCCCAAGCTACAGTTCTGGAGAAGTGCTGGAGTGTTCTCCAGATAGAGGTCTGATCTGTAACAATGCTGACAACTTCCCTGTGCCTTGTTCTGACTACAAAGCCAGATTCTTCTGTCAATGTGCAGGTAAAGAAGATTTGAATGAAATTATTTGTGAAACCTATCTTGATTCACTTAGTTGGTCCATTAATTTCAATTTCTTTAGACAGTATTAAAATGCTTTGCAAAACTTCAACAAATTGCTTTTAACTTTAAATATTTGTATGTACAGCTTCAACCACTTCACCAACTGGTACTGCTGCCCTTCATGGTGGCACCACCAGGCCAGCCCAGACCGACTCTAACGGTCATCTAGTGTCTACCACCACCACGGCACCACCACAACACAAGGTCTGCAGAACAGGCTTCACGGACTGGATCAACAGGGATCGGCCGGAGACAGGAAACGGAGACCACGAGGCACTGACCGACGCCGAGAAAGCTGACCGCTGTCCTGGAGGAAGAATGACCCGAGTGGAATGTTACGCCGAGGCTGGGGATATTCCGTCGTACAGCTCAGGAGAAGTTCTGACGTGTGACGCGGCCACTGGTCTGACGTGTAACAATGCCGATAACTTCCCGGTCACCTGCACGGACTACAAGATCAGATACTACTGCCAGTGTCCAGGTAATGCACTGCTTCATTGACTTTACTTCTGTATGGATGAATATGATTATCGTGAAGAAATATGATATGAATATTGTAAAAATATGATTTTATTATTGAGTTTTGAAAAAGGTTCAGAAAACCTTTTTTGTCAATTATGATTGAGGATGGAAATATTTCATATGATTTTAAATAGTTCATGCCTCTCAACATAATACAAAATATATGTTAAGGTACATATAAATCATAATCATTATCTCATAATCATGAAAAAGATTTTGTTGCAAATAAAATTAATGAAGTAATTTTGTGTTACAGACAATTTGAGTGGAGGAAGCACTCCTGGTGTGAACACCACACCAGTCCCGGCTACCTCTCCTCCTCAGTGTCAGACAAGATGGTCCTCATGGATAAACACGGATAATCCGACATCCGACGGAATGGAATACGAACACTGGACAGCTGTTCAAAAGCTCCAGTTCTGTCCAGGTCTGTTCAATGCGTTAATCTTTTTTCCTTTTTTGTGTTAAAGTTTTAAGATTTGATATCTTATTATACAGTAAAGCTTTGGTATCTGGAATACCATTATCTTGGATATCATGGATATTTGGAAGTGGTTTGGAAGTCCAAATCACTTATGTCCTAGTCTTTGGCATTGTCAACCATTTATGATACAGTTTTTCCTTCATGATTCTTTAAAAATTTGTTGATTAATGTCTGGTCACAGAGAAGAATTAAATATTTCAAAAATTTCAGTGAAGCTTTCCAGTGAAAATTATGCATTTTAAATAATTAAGTGAAAGGGGAGATATTCTTAAACTCTTTCGAATATAAAAGTAAATTAAAAAAAAGATATTGCAGTTTTTACAGAATTCCATGTTTACAAATAAACCATCAGATACAACTTAATTTTTAAGATATGATATCTTTAGCAGTCAGCCATTACTTGGCAAATAAAAATTTCATATATTTTAGTTTTAAAATTTTATCACTTTAATATATCTTATGGAGCTCTTCTTCTAAAGGAGATCAATTTAGTCTAAAAAATGGTCACAACTACCCAGCCTTCTTAATTTGAGCTCCATAAATATTTTTAAGGTGGAAGCATTGACAAGATTGAGTGTGTGACCTCTGATGGTGACATCCCATCCTACAGCTCAGGAGAGATGTTGACATGTTACCCTGACAGCGGACTCGTGTGTAGGAATGCCGACAACTTCCCTGTACCCTGTTCTGACTACAAGATTCGCTACCACTGTGAATGTCGTAAGTACTTGTGATATTTTCCTACTTTCTTATTAAAAGGAAACTAAAAGAAGTTTCACTGTGGCATCCACTTATATTGCTATGGTCCTATATAATTCCATTTTTTGAAAGTCTTGTCCACACTAAATGCATGTATAAAATTCCAACTCCTATTTTAAAAGTAACTACACATTAACATAGATTTGAAGACCATTAGGAAGGCAGTACTCAATTCTATGCTTCATAATTTCAATTTTAAAGAAAACTTTTCATTAAGGTTTAAATTTAATAAAAATTATAGGAAGAAAGTTGTATTACTGTTAAGCTTTGATAAGAACTCCTAATCTAGATCTTACAGTTATATGTCATCCAATGGAATATGTCATCATATTCATTTCAGCTGCTGGACCTGTACCAGGTAAAAATGTAAGAACCACCCCAAGTCCCAACCAGTCCCAGACCACCAAGAATACACCAACCAATATCCCTACAGTTTGTAAAGCCTCTATGGGAATGGAGAGCAAACAAATCCGTAATGAAATGATCACCGCCTCCAGTTTCCGTGATGCCAATAGCAGCCCAGAGAAAGCCAGACTGAACACTAACGGATTCTGGATGCCGGCTTCTGACACAAGGTCTGAGTACCTACAGATTGACTTCCTACAGCAGGCTTACTTAACAGGTGTCACCACCCAGGGCCGCCCTGACGCTCCAACTTATGTGACTTCGTACAAAGTTCAGTTCTCCACAGACGGAATTAACTGGAATACATACAGAGAAGCAGAAGCAGAGAAGGTATAGAGATTTGTAAATAAATCTTGATTTTAGGCCGTACCATGTCCTTACTACTTAAAGTGAATACCAATGTTGTAAATTTATGATAAAAGCAAAGAAATTCTTATTACTACAGTGTAGAGATGTTCATGACTTATTGAATGACATTTTCCTCAAAAATTATAATTGGTTGTTCCTGTTATTATACAGTGAGTTGTACAGTATCCAGAAATTGCATTTATGTAATTTCATTTAAAAAAATCTTAAATGCTGTTTAAATTGAAAGAGCTTTTAAAAGTCCTTCCAAGGTTCAAATTTTACAAGTTTTGTATTTTATTTTGAAGATTTTCAGTGGAAACTTTGATTCCTCCACCCCAGTGACGTATTACTTCACTAGTCCACTTCACGCCCGATTCTTAAGAATCCTTCCACAGACATGGCAAGGAAAAATAGCTCTAAGAGTCGAAGTCATTGGCTGTCCTGTGACCTATCCCAGTACGTCTATTTTTAAAAAAAATGAAAATCAATTTTTTAAAGATAATTTTTGAACTAGCAGATCTAATTAATTTTTCTGATAATTTTTAGCAACCACCCCACCACCCACTCCAAAGCCTACGACTGTTGCATTGACACCAGCCCTGAAACCTGGAGTGACTTCTACCATAAGTTAGTCTTATTTCTATTTTACATCTAATTGTTTTAATCATTCGGACATAATGTTTTATCTGGCCAAATAATTTTTTATCATTTTGTTGTTGTGATACCTGTACATATATGAATAGGAAATATGAGATAATTTCTGATTAATTATTGCATTGTTCATCAAATTGAACTAATGAGAGTTAATAGTTTTATCCATCCCAAGCAAAAATGTTTAACTGAAAATAATTTTGAACAGGTTTTATAAAGAATTGTGAGGAGATATTCATGCAAATTTCACGAATTTTTTTGTAGGAGAATCTTGCGTCCAGTATGATACCTGGGTTAATGTGGGTCACAACACACCTGGGTCTACAGGTGACAGAGAACCAATCGACAAGGTGAAAGAGCTGTCACTCAATTGTCAGAATCCACTCAAGATCCAGTGTCAGACCGTAGGGGGTGTGGCCTATGACCAGACAGGACAGATTGTCAGCTGTAACCTGTGGGAGGGTCTGACCTGCAACAACATGGACCAGTTTGACCCCACAGGCTGTTTGGACTACAGGGTCCGACTGGGTTGTTTGAAGCAGACTCCAGAGTGTGGTACGTTTCTATTATAGAAAGGCAGGCAAAAAAGTGGGTGTTTTTCATAACCTGAAAAAAAATATGGAAAGACCAGTGACTTACTACAAATTGAATTCATTTGTATCTTCATCATAGACCTTGATCTATTGTAAAATAATTGGTTAGGAGGTCATTTCAGAATTTTACTGTCATATATTTTAAAAATGTGAAATGTTGCCAAAATATATTGTCATTTTATTTCTCTGTACAGTTCCGATGCCAAACAACAACTTACACAAAACAGTTGCACCTGTTTTGAACCCCCACGTGGTTCCATGCTTTGAGGGACTAGACACCTCCCAGTGTCCGAACTGTTCTGCTGGTCTCTACTGTGATGGAATGAGATGTGTGAAGAAAGCTGACTGTACATGTCAATACAATAACAAAATTATCATGGTAGGTACACAACTTTAATATGTGTATTCAGATGGACCTCTAAATGAAATGGAGTAGATTTTTTTGAGAGGAAATTGGGGAAACCACATAGATGTTGATTTAGCTTAAAAGTAAAATGTGAAGATCTTTTTTAAATAAAATAAACACAGGCCATTTTGATTTTATATGTTTTTGTTGTTGTAGAAATCGGACATTGTCACAACAGACATGTGTGAAACCTGTCAGTGCTACAGTGGTGAACTAAGATGTGTTCCCAAGAGTTGCCCACCTTGTTCCACTGTAAGTGTATATATAGAGCAGAAAAATAAATGAAAACTTCATTGATTTACATAGGATATAAAAAATACACCCTCAATGTTCATTGATTAACAAAAACATATATGGATCATGCTCTAAATGTTTTCAAAGATGAATAAGTAAACTGATTTTTTTGTTTTCTTTATTTATTTTGCAATCAAATAGATTTTGGAGAAAAGAGAATTCATAGGGACTCTGAATTTTGCTTACTTATAATATCAAAGATTCTTGATCAATATTTGTTTATATCAATATTTGTATATATAATATAAGGAGCGAAGTTTAAATTTTTCTACTCAATTCATAAAAGTTTCTTTAAGACCAAATTCCTTATACCTAAATTTTAAATGTATCTGATTACTTTGAAACATATGTAATTAAAACTGCACTCTGTATAAATTAAGTATATGTTTCATGTACAGGGTGAAACAAAAGTAGTCAACATGACTAGCTGTAGCTGTTCTTGCAAGTCGTGTGATGCCAACCAATTCAGATGTGGAAACGGACAGTGTATCCCAGCATCCTCCAAGTGTGATGGTGTCATCGATTGCGACAACGATGAAGTTGGATGCTGTATGTCATTCATACAATGACTTTATTGAAAGCATCAATAATGTGCTGTACAATTTAAATTAGTTGGTGTATAGAAATTTCCATGAACTGTTATTTATTTTTTTTATTTATTTTTTCATTTTGACTTTTAGTGGTACAACCTCATTTCACACCCCCTTCTATCCCCACACTGTCACCAGTTCCCGGCTCTCATGTGGTGCCAGTCCACCAGTCAACACCATTTCATGACGGCCATCAAACTCACACCAAACCTCAAAGTAAGTGACGGAAATTAAATTCTAGTCATAAGGATATGAGTGAGAACAAAACAGCTCTCATGAAAGACTAATTCTTTAATTTTATATTTTCTTTTTAACAGAAATACTATTATGCAAAAGAAAAGAAATATATATTAATCTAATATCTCTAATATGTACTTAGGCAAAGCTAGTTGATTAGATACATATACATTAATTTAAATCATGTAATTGTAAACAATTTCAAAATGATAGTAGTTAAATCAAACATTAGAAGTCCTTTTTTATTGCTAAGTCAATTTTTTAATTCATGAACAGAAAAGCAAAAAAAGGGACTTCTACAGTATTTAAAACTTATATAAACACTAGTATCTTGCGTAGGTCTATGTCTGTGTATTTGTTCATTTTTGGAGCCAAATATTTTCTAAAAATCCATACAAAACTGTTTAGTTGAGAAATTTTTTTCCAGTGTGTTATTCACATTTAGGGGGAAGGGGGGGGGGGGGGCTTTTACAAACAAAGATACAGGAGAATGGTATGTAATAAGACCTGTATACTTTACTGTGAAATAAAATTTATTTCAGCTTGTCACTCTCGCTGGTCAGGCTGGATGAACTCGCACCACCCTGGGGACCCAGGAAGTCATGGTGATCATGAGCCATCTGCTGCTGAATTTTCCAAAACCAACAACTTCTGTACTAGTGGTTCCATAACAAGAGTCGAGTGCTACTCAGTGTCAATGGATGCCCCCGCTGAGTCCTCGGGCGAGATCCTGACCTGTACCCCCGACAGGGGACTCGTGTGTGATGACTCGGACAATTTCCCCATTCCTTGCGGAGATTACAAGATCAGATACTTCTGCGCATGTGGTACATAAAACATTTCACAAACAAATTATTAGACATAAATCTATTGATCAAATTAATTTTCACCTGTAATGTGCTGGACTTGTTATAAACTGTATGTTTTTTTGTTTGATTTGTAATCTGATGTTTAGTAAGGGCTATTCCTGCAAAATACCATAGGGCTTGGAAGGCAGCTGATTTTTAATGTATGGTTAGTGATGCAGGAAAATTATTATGCATCAGTGACTGTCAACTGGCTCAATTTAGATTTGTAAATGGTTATAAAGGGTAATTAATTGTTGTTAATTTTTGTAGCATATTAATAAATTTATGAAGGCTGGTTTTGTTTGTTTTCTTTCATAAGAAGTAAGATTTATTTCAGAAAATTCACAGATTTATTGAATCAGTTCCAGCAAATAATGCTGTGAAATGAGCAGATGACTTCATTTCAGGGAACATATTTTACCCTTATCAGAGAGAAAATATTTGAAGTAAATATGCTCACACAAGGAAAAAAAAGTTTAATTCTGGACTTTTTGTTAAAATCTTGACATTTTATAAAGATTGATTCTTTAATCGTACCAAGAACAAAAGATATTTTGCTGTTGAAAAATTGAAGAAAAAGATTTTGCAGATCTGAATACAAACTTTACCGTATTTTTGAGTCTGCCCAAGAGTGGGTCATGAATAGTAAATAAATGAGTATGTCATAGTAGACCTGATTTTGCTTCCATTATATAATGGAGTGAAATTTAGATTGGATTTGTTGCATTAATTTTCAGAAAAATGCTCTGCAGTTTCCATTCCCAATGAATTCTTTTGCTGGAATAGCCCTTTAAAACATTACTCTGTAAAACACATAGAAATGAGCTCAATGTAATATCCTCTGTTATGAATGAGTGATTTCCCCTTTTTCAGCTAACAATACCTCAGTTGTTTCCCCTGTCACAACACCAGCCCCTCAACCCTGTAAGTAAAGTCTTTTTAAATCGGAAAAAATAATTTTTATATACTTATAAATTGAAGAAACCAAAACAAACATGGCTTATATATTTTTATAGTCCATATAAAGGTGAAGGAAATGCAAATTTGTTTATCAGACCATGTTTTCTATTGCTTGCAAAATGGTTTTAGTCTCTAGTTTCCAGATTTAAGCCTATTATAATTTTGTCCATAGCTTGTGATTCTGTCCACTGCCAAGCTCTGGTCAAACCTCCCATGATGCCAGGGGAGGTGGCCCGTGTCGTGAAGACTGCTGACGGGTGCTGCGATAAATATGAGTTGGTCTGTAAGCCAGAAACCTGTACTATCCACCCTCTGACTTGTACCCCTCCCCAACTGATGAAAAACATCAACCCAGGGGAATGCTGTCCAACATTCCAGTGTGGTATGTACCTTGGAATGTCATTGAGAGCTATTAAGGAGGGAATGGAATAGTTATTTTGGTCAGCTTACATTTTTTCTTCATACGCAAGTTGGTCATGAAATTTAAAGGAAGTGTTTTTGAAAATTCTTTTAGAAATGAAAAGATTTAACTAGTACGCATAGAATATGAACATCAAAGGGTTATTTTAGGAATTAAAAGTGCTTTCCACATTTTTTGGCAAATGGTTTTCAATAGACTCTCAGAATTTGAAAATGTAAAGTAATTTACTCATATTAATTAAAGAAATTCAAATTTTCAGCACCATGCATTTGAGATTGAAACATTTAATACTAGTACTTTATGAATACTTCTCGTTATAGAGTGCCCAGCTGTGTGTCCAACCGCAGTTAAACCAACATGTCAAACTGTAAGTATTATAATTATTGTTATGTAACATCATTTTAAATAACAACTCCTTTAAAATAGAAAAATTAAATTCAGTATCTGCTTTTAAAAATCCTTTCAATAATTTTTTTTAGGGAAAAGTTGCGGTACCTGTAGATACTACTTGTAATTGTACCAGTTACACATGTGGTAAGTACTAACAGTAATTGTAAAAGTAACATATGTGAAAAGTACTAGCAGTAATTGTACCAGTTACACATGTGGTAAGTACTTAAAGTAATTAAGAGTAATTGTACCAGTTACACATGTGATAAGTACAAAGAGTAAATGTACCAGTTACACCTGAGGAGGTACTTAGAGTAATTGTACCAGTTAAACATGTGATCAGGATAAAGAGTAATTGTACCAGTTCTGCTTTTAATGTATATAATTCATTCACTACGATTATGTTCTGACAGTGACTTGTTTTGTTTCCAGTGAGCCGTGTCCCGTTAGACTATGGACCTGCTGTCTGCTGGTATAAACACTCTAATGGTTCAAGTCTTTCCTACAAGGTAAAACTTAAGACAGATTGAAGGTATTTTCTTGGAGCCTGCAAATTCTTCTTTTGTCAGAGATCTTCTATAATTTTGCATAAGAAAAAAAAAATTGTAAGATGTAGATATATACTACTTACATGTATTAGTATGGAATATCAAACATTAAAAAAAAACATTGTCAAGTTTCATTGATCATATGTTATTTTCATCAAACAATGCTAATTAAATATATAACATACATTTACCAGTGCAAATAGATTAGTACAAGAAACTGTATTTCCAATTTTTAGTGTACATGTACTGATTTAATTTTGTGCCTACATCAGGTGAATGAAACCTGGACAGATGGATTATGTAAATCCTGTGAATGTGAGAAACGACTTGGAGGAAATGTCGAGACAGTATGTCACCGAGAGAGATGTAAAGCCTGCCCTCTGGTGAGTACTTAAAAAGGGAGATAATTCAATGTAATTGTTTGTCATTAAGAGAGATGTAAAGCTTGTCTTGTGATGAATAATGAGCATGGAAGACAACTGAATGTGAGAATTTAGTGTGTTTATGTGTGTGTGTGTTGGGGGATGGGGGGGGGAGAGTTGGGGAGTTTGTTGTTTTTTTTTTGGGGGGGGGATATGGAGCTTGTCATCTGGTGAATACTACACAAGGGAGATAATTGAAAGTGAGTGTTTAGGAGGGGAAGCTTTGTCACTGGAAAGAGGTAAAGCCTGCCCTCTGGTGAGTATTAAACATGGGAGATCACTGCATATCATACTTCATTGGAAGAATTGTGGCGATAGTGTGTAACTGAGAGTCAGAGTTTAAATGCCTTTAAATATTTCTGAGAGTCTTGTGCAAGGGAGATAATTGAGTGCTTAAATTGTAGTAAAATAAAAACTTTCAAGTTTTACTAGTAGTAGGCTTATATCATATTTTGTTTTTCAAGACTGTTTGTTTAAATCCCCATGCAGTCGAGCTCTTTAAGATATTTTCAGTGTTAATTTATTTGTACACAGGGCACAACGTTAGACCACAGTGACCCTAACAGCTGCTGTGGTACATGTAAAGAGACAGGGTGTGTGGTGGATGGACATGTTTACAGCGTAAGTACTGCTGACTCAAAGGAACAAGTCAGGAGTGATTTCTAATATATATCTTAATCACAATGTAACATATATCTTTTTACTGTAAAAATTTCAAATATGTTTTAAAAATACTTGCCCACCTCAATCAAGAAGTACACTTGACTTGTCAAAAGTAACATGTACGTGAATGATTTAAGTTCTGAAATTTTCTTGATGAACGTCTTTCAAACAAATTATTCTGGCAATATCTTATGGAATTTACCTTTGATAGCTGTAAGGACAATTTAAAAACAGTACTGATTTTCTCTCATCAAATCTGTGTGGTTGCAGATTTTGCCAGATTTTAAATAGCTATAAACCATAAAAATGTACATGTCATTTCCTTATTGCTCTAGGATGGAGAGGCAATACCAAACGCAATGAAATGCTACACAAAGACTTGTTCAGCAAGTTCATCTGGCTTCCTCATAAAGGAGACACAAATACAATGTCACACAGACAATCTCCCAGCATGCCAAGGGGTAGGTTTACTTCCTGTACAATTCAAACTTTAAGCAGAGTTTGTTTTTTACTTTATCTTATAATCAATATGCAAGTTGGTAAGTGCAAAAGCAAGTCAAAATAAAGCATGAGTCGTAAGATCATTATTTTTTTCTTTCAGAATACAACAGAGTATGACCAATCAGGTTGCTGTCCTACATGTGTACTAACACGTAAGTTTAAAGCACTCTAACTCCGGAATTTTTAGCATTTCTTGACAACAATATCTTTCAGTCAGCAAATTTATGCATTGAACATAAAGAATTATTTTTGCACAACATTTTTTACAGACAAAACCAACAGATTTTGGAGAACTTGATAATACTGAATTTCGTTGCTCTTTTTCAGCTACGAGTTCCAACCTTGTAGGTTCCAACAATAGCTGTTCAACCTGTCAACCAACTCTACAGTTTAAAAACCCGGTATTGACAATAGGCTACTTCACTCTAACAGAAGGAACTGTAACATGTAGAAATGAGCAACCTGTAGCCGATCTCATGCAGTGCTCGGGGCATTGTGAGTCCCAGGCCACTTATACAAACGTTATGAAGGGCTTCACAAATAAGTGTAATTGTTGCCAGCCCATACGAACCGTTACAAGGAGTGCCGTTCTTACGTGTTCTGACAAATCTACCCGAACCAAATCGTACACTGTTCCCGAGGTGTGTGGATGTAGGGCCTGTACCAGTGGAACTTAATTGGACGATTACAATTAAATCTCATTGACCTCCCGTTTATGAACAGTATTTAGTTTAATGAACATATTTTATACAAAGACATTTTTTATTGAATATATTTTTTTAACTTCTTGTCCTAGTTTGTATATATATTTTTATGCTATTTTGTTGTTATTCATCTTCAATCTCATGTTATATAAATAAATGCAACTGTTACAAATCTTAACGTTTTCTTTTTTAGATAATATCAGTTACTCAGTATTCATGTTCAAAACGGATATAAATGGATTTAGGTACTCCACACTTATATATATTTCATACACCTAGAAACTGAAGGGTGTAATTAACTGTACAGTTGTGCAAATATTAATATATATTTCCTATAACAAAACTAACTCATAAAACAGGAGCAATAGATGGTGTATCGAAGTTTTGATAAGATTGACCACAGGCTTCAATGTATCTTTGCCCCAACCTCAGAGGTTAACAGATAAACTCCTGGCATGTTTACCAATCAAAACTCGTGTTGCATAAGAAATAAGTATACTGCAGACACAGAATACGTTTGATATCCAGCTTCATCTTCTTGTACACAACAGGATTTGAATGATCTTTATTCTAACAAACAAAAATTCAAAAATTATTACTATCTTCAGTGCATGTAGTTCTCTCCATAAACCAATATATTAATTAATCTTATTTGGAATCAAGTCTCAGGGAAAAAAAAATCAAGATGTAATTGTGAAACACTGAGGCCTAGGGCAATAATGCGAAGGTCAAATTTTCTGAAATGCAATTGAAATATGTTGGCACAAAAACAAAGGTCTTCTCACAATAAATATGCAATTGCAAAATATGAAATCCCTAGCACCATATGTTCAAAAGTTATGGCCAAGGTAGGTAAAACTCCAGGGTCAATGTCATAAGATGAAAGTTGTTGGTATCCAGTAAAAGGTCTTGCCATAAGGAATAAATATACCGTTCAAAATAATGGCCAATGTTAACTTTTTAAGAAGTTTGTCGATACGTCAGAGTTGTTCATACCCATGGAAGGTTTTGTCAAACAGAACACATACTTGAAATATAAAAGTCATAGCACCAACTGTTCAAAAGTTATGGCCAAATCAAAAATTTGGAATTTTTGTGTAAATGTGTGTAAAACTCTGAGGTGCCAAAAGAAAGATCTCGTCACAATGAATACAATTGTTAAAATGAAATGAAAGCCATAGCCCCACCCAGTCAAAAGTTCTGGGTAAAGTTAAAGTTTTTGCCAACAAACAGACAGCTAGGCGGACAAAAGGACAGACTGACAAAAACTGTATACCTCCAAATCCTCGATTAAGGGGGCATACAAAACGTACAGCAAAGTGAATGTTTAAGCTCAACCACATATTGTAGGAAAAAAAGGAAAGGGGAAGTCCGTCTTGGAATGGAAATTTACATGGCAATATATTTTTACTCTGTTAAAGAATTTTTTCAGTAGAAAGTACTCAAGCAAGCCTTCACTGACACCCACTTTCTCGTGTATTACGTTGTTGATACTTGCTCACTACGGTAATTTTTTATTACTCTTCACCTAGGCATCTGATCCCACCTGCGGAATTTTTAGGGGCCCTCTTCACATGTAAGACAAATCTTGATTACAGATTTTTTTGATCGATCACTAAAGGTAAAAAGATATTTTTACCTTTTTACATTCTATTTTGATTAAAAATAGAAGGAAATGATTCCTTTCATTTTTTTCCCCTTTATGATGAATTTATTTACAACAGCACACAGAAAGATATAGTTTAAAATTAAAGACTTAAAGTATTCAATACTATGTCAAATCTAAATGTATTTAAAAATTGTATTTTGGAATTCCGTTCAGAATAAAAACCTAGGACGACATGCTTCCACTGTACATCAAAATTTAACACAGAACTCAGATTTTTCCATATGAATATGAACATGTTTACAATCAAAAATTAAATGTCTAATATCTTCAATTTCATCACACATATTACATAAAGCACATAAATGCTTTAATTAATATATGTTATTCTGTTATTTTTGTTATACTAACTATCCTGGCCCGGGTTAGTTATTAGAAATTGTAATCGGGTGTGCATAATTATTAATAAACTTATTTAAACAAAAAAAAAAAATCTAAATGGGTATTGTATTAGGCAGGTCCCTCCCCCCCCCTGTGATTCCCCCTTTCCTCGTTGCAATTAGGCGTCACCTGCATGTTACCACCACAAATCTGTATTTATTGCCGATTCGGTCGCTATAGCAGGCGCGTAGCATCGTTTTTGAAAGTGGGGGGGGGGGGGCAGCCAGAGAAAATTTTTTCTACTCACCTGAAAAACTTGACAAGCAAAAACAAAAAAAAAAACAAAACGAAAATTAAAATAAAAGTTGCTCAAACTCGAAAATCCTATTTCGTGTGGTAAGGGGGGGGGGGGGGGGGGTTTCACTTCCAATTTTTTTTCGTACATTTTCCTACAATAGCTTGGTATCACAATACTATGGGAAAAAGTGGGGGGCTAACCATCCTTTCAATTAACATTTCCTATAGTAAAGGTAATGCTGGGGGGAAAAGTGGGGAGGCCAGCCCCCCCCCCGCGTTGCTACGTCCCTGTATAGTATCACGCGTGTCTAATTTTTTATTCCATTAAGGATTTATCTGCAAATAATCTAGATGCTACTGGTAGGGGTGTCATAAAATGATTTTACCCATGGCATCATATTTATTTTACAGTTAAACATAATTCTTTTCATTGACTATCTTTATCATATAAGGTTGTTCGGTTATTTCAATTAAAAAAAATCACAAATATGAAAAGGATATGCTGCCTTTCTAGACCTTTTAACCAATGAAAACCGAAATCGCAAGATATTCTTTTATTCACAAACACACAAAAAAAACACAAATCGGATTAAAGGTAACTTAATTCTCTATAAAAACAATGTACACAACAGTCATTCTAAGATTCTATAATATTTGGAAGTAAGTTAATTGATTTCAATTTAATTATTCTATTTGTTTACCTCAATTTCAATAAAAAATTGTTTATTCAACTGTACACACTCAGGTAAAATTGTCTTCATTGCGTTCGAACACAAGTATGATATCAAATTAAAGAGAAGATTGAAATATCTAAAAACAGTATATTAGAGAAACACCGACATCTTACGAACGAACGTAACCAAAAACGGGGATCAGTCATTGAAGTCTATTGTATTCACGGTTGGATTATTGAATTCTTCAATTTTATTGGGATTTCGATAGATAAAATCCCCACAAGATACCTCAAAGCCACGTCTTGTCGTAGTCGCTACCGTGAAGCTACAATACATGTCAATGGACATTTAAACGAGCAAAGGGGTTCGAGAAGGGAAATGAAAGGAAAATTTTAAAAATGTCACTCTGTGGCATGAAATAAAAAATTAAAATATGTGCGGATCTAGTAGGGATCGAAGGATGGGGGAGCGAGTACTTTACGAAGGACGCCTGGGACAATAAGGAGTTATGGTCTAAAATTAAATTGCAAAAACCCAAAAACTTTGAAGAAATTCTTGTTCAAAATACTATATGCTGCGAAAAATATAATTAATATGGCTTTTAATACACAGGTATTATAGCCATATCATAAATCCAGGGGGATGCCCGTTCGTAATTTGTCGGTTGATAAAGCTTCTTCTTACAAACATGTATCTTAAAAATCTTCATATAATTCTCACGGATGCTAGTGGACAGGATCCCCCCCCCTTTAACATCCTAGACCCAATGCCATTTTTTAATTTCACTGTTAAAGCTCAAAGGCTTCTCGAGATATTGCTCGAAACAAAAGTTTAACAGACAGACAAAATTCTAAGACAAACGGGCAGACCGAAATTAATATCCCCAACTTTCAGGGGGGGTGGAGGCGCAAAAATGGAAGCTTAGTGAATTGTGTTTTTGACATAATTTAAAATGTATGAGAGCAAATTCTATATTAGCATGCCATCATAGGACCTATGCCCCCCCCCTCCTCAAACCCCTGGAATATACTGTATATAAATCCGGGTCCAAAGATATTTTGCAAAATTGATACCTGCAGTTAAAAAGTTAGAGGTGATTTAAGATACTACGGGCATGATTTTTTAAAAATAAAAAGTGAATTCTGTGTATTTTTGGATTTTTCATATGAAATGCAAATTTATAAATATATACTAGACGGTTAATTTATGAAAGAAGACAAATATGAATATCTTGGGACCCGGTATGTATATTAGGGGTGGGGGCGGGGGCGGGGAAGTTGTTTGGTCTACAAGCACTTGTGATAAGCAGATGTGTGCACATACTTTTGAAGGATGCCATGACAACTAAGTGACAACTACGTTTCATATTATTCACACTTTTAAAAGTCCGTATATATTATTGTTGGTATTCTGGAATCAATCTTTTTTTTTTTGTTTTACAACAGGATGGGGAATATATATTTTTCCTTACAAATGAAACAAGTTATAATTTCGGTTATAGTTTTTATATGTATATTGGACCTTCGGTCAAAATAACTCTGTGTGTGGTCGAAAGTATAAAGTGTGTCTTCTAATTTTATATTTTGAATAATGCATGGTTAACAAACAATGACATGGTGGAGCAAAACTTTAAGACAAAGAAAAGAACTTTACTAAGAAAAATGCACCACCCTACATAAATGCATAATATATTTTCAGCCTTTTTTTATAATCCACACATATAAACAGATATACATGACTGTACACACGGTCGTATATAGAAGAGGGGTTGAGGGCTTGGTGATAAGCCCCCCCCCCCCCCCCCCCCGATAATGAAGTCGATTAATAAACAATATAATATAGAAAACTTAGCTACTGTATACTT